AGTAGAAAACACACCAACACCGCCACTTGAGGAGTGGTTGTTTGTCAGCTTTTAATGGTCACTCGTCGGGTGAACAGAGCTGAGATAAACGGAACAAGATAGTGGGAGCAGGTATTTCTCCTGCCGGGGTTGCCAAGCCAGGGTAGGTGGGTGGCTCCGTCCTGCGTGCATAGACTAATGCCACTGGATTAGCAAGGCCAGGTGAAACCAGATAATTTGATGCTCATTGTTGAGACAGTCCGCAGCCATGAAAATTTTGTTGTAGCTTATTACCTGGCAATGACATGAATAGAGTTCAAGTGTGCTTGTACCATATCCGTCACGTTCGGAGAGTTTGAGTGGCGGAAAATGTTCATCATAGACGCTGTTTTTAAAAGCTCACATTCAGTTGATCGATCTCTCATAAGAAGTACGCTCTTTAAACAACATTCACTCAGGACAAAAAAGATCTTTTCCTTGTAGGAAGATCTCTCTCTTGTTGAAATGTTTTTTGTGGTGCAGCAAAGGTAAAGGAACAGTAATGAGGCACAATGCTACGGTTAACAGGAAGATCAACGTTTATCGATGCACTTTGACGTCACAGGCCACGTGATTATTCACATCATTATATGAAGTTGTTTCATTTGCTGAAAGTGCATTTCTCTTTCGTTGATTGTAATGTACGTGTCCGACTTTCAGGCTATCGTAGCACAGCTAAGCTGGATGCGTGAACTGGGTGCGGACCTGGTATGTTGCCTCAGCTGTCTCCAGTAATTTGCTCGAAGGCTATTCAGATACTCAATGGTGTGGAGTCATTTGTGACATTTGGAGTTCGACTGAATCATTCATATTTGGTTACTCCCAACCACTTATGCAGCACACAGGCTGTCTCCGAATCCATTTTTGGCCAACATCCAACAGGAACTCATGAGTCCTACGGGTCTAACGGACTCCGCGAAATATTTGTGCGGAAAAATAGGATTCAACCACATAAAGCAGCTGCTCAGGCTGTTAGACGAGATGAAACAAGCTTCATGGAAGTCGTGTCTGTGAAAACAAGATCTCGAGGAACTACCTAATACCGAGGCTGACGCATTCGTTCATGCTCCGCCAAGTCCAGGGAAATACTCTCAAAAGGTTGGATAAATGTATCAGGCAGTCTATCCGTCAATGTCTGCACCTACCGTAGGGACATCTTAATCAGCTAAATCCACGCCGGTAAACAGCGTAGGAGAATCGGTATCCCAAGCATCAATTAAACCATCCTGATATAGTGGAATGTGCGCATGAAAAATCTGCTGGTTACACAGCGCCGAATACTATGCTACGTGGTCAATGATCCTCCATTTGGGAAGGTTGTTCGGGATCTCAGCTTTCTGACCCAAGGCACATGGGTGAATACCAACAACGTTGCTAGTCGCGGACTGCGAGAATCGGTCAACTCGCCTCCGTCGAACTGATACCTTCTGTTCCCAGAACGGGTGATTCCTCTGGGATTTGTCCACGGTATCCACCTCTGGTGCAAACTGCTGAGGACAAAATTTAGAAAGTCTGGATTTGTAATGAAGACCAGACGATCTATTGTTGTCAAAACTGTGACCAACAGATTTTTTACACCTGCATTTTCGTTAGATCAAGCATGATGATCGACGTGCTCGTCATAATCCAATTCATTGGAACTCAGAAAACTTTCCCGTTGTCTGGAATGCTAAGTTTCCGAGAATTTGGGAGCACCCGGTTCAACGTCCTTCATCAAGCCTGGCTTTTTGGCTGCTCGAGAGTGCCGTACGACGGTGATGGACGTAAGTGTAGTCATAGACGGGTAAGGACCGCGAAAAGAAGCAGAAGTACGTTGCCTGCGGTTGCTCCCTCGCCATCGTCATCAGTTGTGATGTTGATTCCTTGGTTCATGAACTGATGATCATCTCATGTCGAAACATCTGCTGTCCCCAATCCACCAAAGTCGTCGTTGGACTAAGGCTTTCTGAAGTCATAGTCAGCGACTTGTGTTTGCTCACCATTTTCGGTTCTCTACGTACTTAGGACACCTTTATGCGTGATACATAGCGGTGAGTGACCCTACTCATCAATGACTTTCACATCTTACCCTACACACCCTTGTCTGACATGCTGGTCTTGTCTGTGCCAGCACTAACTGCACCTTGAGGAGCATTGAGTACTATTCTACCTTTCTTAGTTGGTAGTTTTACACGCATTTCCATGCAGACATTCCCACCTGTCTTGGAGATATTTTTGCCTGACTAGAACCCTTTCTGCTGGTGCGCCTTCGAGTGGAATATTCCCCGCCTTTTCATTGTTCTCCCGTACTCGCACATCAAATGTGTAAACTAGTCAGAACGCGTGATATTTAACACTCATCCCAAACAACTTAGTCCTTTTTCCTTTGTGATGTAGAAGCTTGAATACCACTATCCGAATTCACTAAACTGGACATTTTGCACATCGTTTGTAGTTCAATTGATAGGTGTTTTATACCCTTATCAATATAGTTTATTTCGTGCCACCATCATGCATAATTTTGAGGTCAAACTACTGTTCAACGGCGTGCTGGATGATGGTGTTCGTTGAAAGTCTGATTCCCCATTTTTATAGTTTTCAAACCACCCAGAAAGAAATCAATACAGCTAGAAACATTCCGGTCAAACACAACCGCTTGCGCTAACATCGGTCGTTTATATTATAAATACCAAGTGTTGTGTATCATTCGAATAGGTAAGTTGGGTTTACAGAGGTGGTGTAAATTGGTGAAGCTAAGTGGCGCACTATCGGTCGATACGACCCGTAAATCGGACCATGTGCAAATTGTTCAGAACTTTTCCTCACTAACTGAAGAGCAATTTTTGTGGGTTTGTCAAAGGACGAATCGGTACAGAAAAACGTGACTGTCGAAAAAATTATCACAAATTACTTTGGTTAATGCTCATTTTAGATGGTGCAAGCCGAGGCGAATAAGTTTGAGTATGATTCATGCATAGGAATAATGACAACGCGGAATGTCCATACATCATAACATAGCGCCTACGATCTTACATTTGGGCTAACAACGATAGCTTCCAAGGGTTTTAACGAAGTAGTTGTGCTTTTGATACGTAATTAGCCAAATATATGCCACAAAACGGAAGTTGGCGATCCCTGCAACCAGCTCTACAGTAACGAAATTTGGATTCTTAAACGGTCCGTCACACCTACTAAATCCACAAAAGGGCCGCTACGTTGCTGATCAAGTCCGTTGTAGGGGTTTGCGCGAGTATCGCTAGCAGCTTCATCCAGAAAGCGCTAGCAGTCGAACCCGTAATTCTCACTGAAGATCCAACGGTACAGTATCTTGCGTAAAAATTGCTTGTTTCAATAGGTCAAACCCGAACTGGTTTCCTTCCTTAACTATCGGCAGTGCACTTTTATGGGTTGAGCGCAAGAAGCTCATGATTCTTGTCTCGCAAAAGCTGCTATTGGGCAGGCTCAAAGGATCCGAAAACGCATCATGCGAAACCTGGATGCCATTAGACCGTTCTCCACCGTCCAGTAATACTAACACGGATCAAGAAGTGTCAAAATGTTCTGGTATGCATGCAATGGCGCTTGACACAAGGCCCTAAACCACCGAATTAGTCGTCCTATTGCTGAAATATCGCTAATTTGACCTAAGGGGTTGCACCGCACAAAGATCACATCGAGTTGCATTTCATTCCATCTTTAGGAAATCGACGTACGCTTCCTTGGTACGACACCTACAAGTTTTATTCGAAGATGTAGTTTCCGTGGTAATAAATCCATTTTCCAGTTTCTGTTGCAATTAAACCTCATTTTATTTTGTGCTAACGCAGCACGAACTATCGGAAAAGACTATTCCAAAACAACGAGATTATACGGTTTACGGCTACTGACCCGTGTAAGTTATCGGCTCTCAGCTGGAAGCAGGGTTTCAAAAGAGGTGAAGATTACTGGTTTTCAGGCTGTAGTCCCTGAGTTAGTCGTTGAGGTCGTTCCACCTTGTGTTGGAAACAGGCGGGATTCACTCCGTCCATTTTGCGAAAAATGAAAGAAAACTCATACTATTTCCCGAAAAAATACCTCTTTAGTCAGGCGTTGAGGGTGAGTGACCATGGTACATTTCCAGAAACGAATGCAGGAGGCAAGAGGTTGAGAAGCACCGGCATCGAAGAGACGGGTTAACGTTTGGTTGGTGCGCCCCTCCCCCCCCCCGATGCTGGGTCGCGAAGACAACTTCACTTTTCCCACCGCGTTCACCACCGGAGTAAATCAACCCTACGAAAACCATTTGGTTGGGCCCCCCCCCCCCCCCCCCCGATGATGGGTCGCGAAGACAACTTCACTTTTCCCACCGCGTTCACCACCGGAGTAAATCAACCCTACGAAAACCAGGGTCTCATGTTTCTGGTTCCTCAAAATGATTGAGATACCCTCCTGGTGGAATACAATCTCAGATTTACTGGTTGACTGAAAAGGTCCACACCACGATCACTATCTCGCCACATCACTGGGCTTTCTTAACCGAACTTTGGTTAGTGTACAGCTTGCCCTGGGAGCTCGCATACTTTTATTTGTTAAAGCATGCCACAGATACTGTGCGGACGAAAATAGACGCGCAGAACCGATTGTTATGGAGTTCGCTTCAAGTAATATTGCCATCCTCGTTAAAAACAAAACGTTAAAGATTATGCTGAATGGCACAGACTTAAGACACGAATACTTCACAAGCCCGCCTTGCCGTGCGTAAAAATCGGATATTTGGTGCACCCGTGCCGGACTAAGTGAACTGATTTGTCGCACTCACAAAAGATATCAAACACCCGCCACAGAAAGAGCATAATGTCACTGACAGCCCACAGCAACAGGGACACCCCAATCAAAGAGACACCACTCCCGTATCTTTCAACCGGGGGGCCAAATACACACGACTATACGTACGATGGGACACATTCAAGTTCCGTAAATACCCTATTAACTCCCTGCCTGATAAAAACAAATAAACCGACGCGGTGTAAGATCTGATCCTATTCTTATGTTTAGTATGCAAATGTACATAGGAGAAGGCGAACAAGAACAGTGATGATGTGGACGGGGGAATGAAACACCAAGTAAGCCATAAAAATGTGTTTGACCATTGCAAATCGGGCCTTTTCGGATGAAGATCAAAGAAAGACAATATGTGCACAAACAGAACATACACCTTCAAAGACGGTGAATGAATCAACAGGAACAGAGAGGGTGATGCTAATATGTACAATGATACACCATACCACTGTATGCAACAAACAGTCGACCCAAAAATGTTAAGGATACGGGGAATTTAAACAGAACTCCGCATAGCGGAGAAAACTGATTTCAAAGTCTTCGAGATGTGAAAAATGAAGTGACCAATTACCCGTAGGGCAGGGGAGCAACACAGACAAGGGATTCCCTATCCACCTCCGGGAGACAAACACAAAAAACGGTGGCCAAAAACAGTAGGAACGACAATAATACGGGAACAATGTGTGTGTATGTGTATGTGTGGAAAAATGATATAACAGTGTTACTATTAATAATTGATCACAGTTTCTAACACACAAGCCTTTGTGAACTTGCAAGTTCGTTGGCAGGAGTGATGGCAGGGCGGGGTGGTTAAAAGAAACCAGATGGCCCAAATGCATCGTAGGTGGAATGTTGCTGCGGATGCACGGAACCATACATGGAGGAGGGTGCCTGCTGTATTGTGGGTTCCTGAGTGGGCATAGTGGAAAAATGACCACCAGCCTGCTGCAAAGTTTGGGCGGAATTCGCGCCCATCGTACTGTCCACAGAGATTACACTACAACTCATGGAGCGCGAGGACATGGTTTGATAAGTTTGGCCATCCATGGATGATGGGTGATGATGTGGTTTAGGATCTAGATTGTGGTTGCCTGCATGTGGTTGCATCTGCATGAAACCAACATTGCTAATGTTATTATTACTTCCACCGTTGACCATGTGTTCAGGTGCGAACCTATACCCGGAAACGGCCGTTGCTGACTGTGGCATGCTCACATTACCTCGCGAGGCATAACACCCAGGTCCAGGATAACCTATTGCCGAACTATTGCTCGAACTGACAGGTTGGTAAGAGGAGGGAACTTGTCCAGGAAAGAGAGCGCGCTGGCTACAAGGTTGTCCACCATAGCTCGGAGGCACTGAGCTGCTTCCAGCTGGACCAGATAAAGGATAGTTCGATTGCACCATACCGGCACCTTGGAAGGCTGCATTGGTTAGGAAACGTTGCTGTGATTGATGGGTGGATGCGCCAAATTGGGGAGAATTACGATGATCCATCATCCCGACGGGCTCATTCGCCATTCCAGGTTGTGACATGACGTTCGAAATTGGCACAGCACTACCTGAACCTTGCACAAACCGATCGCTCGGAACTAGTGGTTGTGGCTGGAAGGCATACGACTGACTAGGCTTGGCGTGGATTTGAGGGCGCTGGGGGTAGAGTTGCTGAAATGGCATGCAGATAGGGCACCACAGTGTAAGGCAGCATAACCAGATCATCAGACAAGTGCATGGAAAGTGTTTACAACACTGGTGACCTGAGAATTCCCAATTCAGTGAACATGAGAGTCTAAGTGTCTTGTGGAGACAAATGAACTATCGAGCTTCTTCTCTACGATAGGATTTCAAGCTATCTATTACGAATGAGTCATTCAACTAGACTTGGATGCATCTGCTACACCTGTTAAACCGGTGAAAACGATTCGCCACATCCTTTTATTTTTTTTTCGCTGGAAGATTGCTCAAGGTGTTCCCGGGGCGTCAATACTACACGAAGGAAAAAAAATCCCTAAAGCGTCAGTGACAATAAATACCAAGGTGCTTTTGTGACAGAATTTACAATGTCCACCAGTCAGAAATTTAGGACCATTTACAAGACGACCAGAATCATGGAGGTTACGGAGACTCACTAGTATGAAGACAGAAAATGCCGACTAACCTGTTGCTGTTGAACCGCGGGCTTCCCTTCTCGCCCCTGGCTATGATGGGACATTTCCCCTTGAGATGCTATCCACTGCGGGGGCTGTGGATCAGGTCCAGATTGTGAATGCATCATTTCCCGCTGTCGATGCGAAGGAGATGGAGTGTTGCGCTGTAAGGTCGTCTGCTGCTGTTGTTGTTGTTGCATGGGCATGTACGATAACTGGGTTTTGGCACTGAATCCACTGGCTGACATATAAGAGGCCGACGAGGGTATTTGTGCAGTCGAGACGGCAGATTGGTAGTTCAAGTGGGGTTGGTTTGGATAGACCTGACCAGGGAGAGCGTTTTGAGTGGAACGATCTCCAGCGCTCACAGGACCCATAGGCTGCACAAAGAGAGATTAAAAATTTTTAGAATGTTATACTCAATCAGAAGCAGAAATGAATAATGTAGACTGAGACGAGGCTAAGAAACGCAAATTTTAGAACAACCTTCAAGATTCTGCAAGGCCAAACACCACCAAAGGAGGATCCCTCAGAGGAGCAAACAGTGCACTCACGCAGGACTAAAGATAATTTGTTTGGTTGAAGCTTCTGACGAGGTGTTTTGTAAAAGGCGTTTTGTATGCGGATTCTGTCACTCAGCAAATTGGATATAGTAGGCTAAGTACACTGGTCGAAACTGGACTGGGTCTGTAGACATACATGGTCATAGAAGAACCCAAGCCACAACACTCAGCGATCATATCGTGGACAGTACGCTTCGCGAAAGGCTATTGGCCATCAAAACATCATATCAACAGGACTCACATGATACCCGAACTCTACATGTCGTTGTATTTGTCATTGCCAGACCATTGGTTGGTATGTCATCGAGCTTTCTAAGACAGCCAGTTACATCCAGCTGACTCTTAGTCCACGGGGTCGAGATGGCTCAAGTGGTTAGAGCGCGAATTTACTGACCGGAAGGTCCGTGGTTCGAACCCAACCTCTGCCATTCGACTTCCCCTGTCTAGGCTTGGGCGACCTGGCAGTATCCCAGCCCTCGTACCTCCTTCGTGTGGCATGGCAGCTAGGCAGCGAAAGGGTACTACAGCTGAACGATTATTATTTATTATTATTTTATTAGTCCACTAGCACGTCGAATCATTTGACATTCGGGAACAAAAAGGCTTCCTAAGGCGCATGAAAGCCTCTGTTCTGCTGCCCATTGCTAGCAGCTGACTTGGAACGAAGTACGCATTGTGTTACATCAGTATTGTTCGACACATGTTAACAAAGCAGCGGCAGTTAAACATTCTTCGGAAAAGGAAAGAATTAAAAGCGGGGACGAATGGCACCCGTTGTGTGGGGAGTATATCATGGAGGCTTGTAAACAGCAGACAAGAAGGCTTGCTTTCGAGAGAGATTAATCTAGGTCCCAAAAAGCTTCGTATTGGCAACTGAACGCAAAGGTAGACGCAGACCAACGCAATATTAGAAGCAAACAGGTCTAAAGTCCCATAATCCACGGGCAGTCAATGCGTCCTACCATAAAGCCGTGAAATTTGCCGGGAAATCTGACTACACTCATGTAGTGAAACAGCACTACCAGCTTCTCAACATCTAATAAGTATGGAGTCTGGAGGACGCAAATTCGCTCATGTTAACCATAATGCAAGACTAAGCATATATCGCCTAAGGGAGATGCATCTGGTGTGATGGAAAACACTCCAGTTTACCATTAGTTACTCAAATGCGGTTTAGACGGTCGATGTATGTATGCACGACAGTCTGGTGGAACAAATACCAGGTGAAACCGCGGCAACATTCAAACCATACCACATAAAAATGTTTACAGCAGTGTTCGTGTAATTAATGCCAAGATTCAAAATAAGCAGAAACTAAAATGTGGTTCCTACTGAACACCAGTATTTGGATAATAAAAAACTCCCAGCAGAGTACCTGCGTAACTTTGTCGTTGTGCTGGACAACGCGAAGTAGAGGTTGACCGGTAGGTAGATCAAGTTACACAACCACGAATTTTTTCAGTCACTTACGCGTTGCACTGACACATACATTGACCCCGTGTTGGGTGCGACAAACGAAGATTGCGTGGGGATTCCGGAACGTGATAAAAACTGGTCATCCACGCGGGACACTGCTGGTGCATAGGAACGTTGTGCGGGACCGGAGCCCTCAGGAGGTCCTACAACAACACCAGAGGCACCAGACTTCGTAAAATTACTTTGCCTAGAAGGCAAATCTTGCCGAAACTGCTCGGAATCCGCTGGGATAAGACCTGTGGATGAAAGAAACAATATTTGAAAGGATTAAAAGCGTGCTTCTAGTACTGGCTGAAACCATCTTCGAAAGCTATGCGAAAGAATGAAAGGACAAAAGCTATAATGCGGACTTGTTTCCACCGGACAAACACGATGCGGGCTCGTTCCAAGTATATGTGGTCAGATGTGCTGCGGACAGCTACTCAAGCATATTCAAGTAAAAAATAACTAAGTTGGAACAAAGGTTGATAAAAACGGCTCCAACATGGATAAAAGTCCGTCGAATCAATAACATGGGTCACGTCGGTGCAGGTAAGTGCGCCACAGCAAACCAGACAGTGGCGCGTGGTTTCGCACAGAGATGACCAACCGGTGCGACGTGCCACCAATAGACCCCGAAAATCAATATTATTAGACCCACAGTGAATTTACAAGTGCTCTTCTGTGACCGTTGGACGGGCCAAACTGATTGCCGGTTAGCAGGAGTTAGCTCTGTGAAAAATGGGGCGTCGCGACGAAACCTAAGAGTAAAACCGGAACCAAACACCCTTAGAAGGCTGTCTTAGAATCAAGGTTAAAATGAATGGAAGCCAACCAATTCCAGAAAAGCAAAAAGAGCCAGACTTCGGGGGCGCAACATAATAGCAGACTGTCAAGCAGCTCACCGCCACTCGAAAGTCGAACGATGCAGATACGCCATTATCAGCCTAAAGGGAGACGTGTCGACCGAGCACTGAACGAGAACCATCAGAGATACGCAAAGAAACGTCTATCCCAATTCTCCGCACAGTAACAAACGAAATACCAAGGTGACCCCCCGACCAATATGTTGTGTTTACCTAATTTTGACACATACTGCGTTGCTCGCGTCGTCTACGGTTCTTTGCCGAAAGTTCAACGAACTGTCATCCACTATATGAGGCACAGCACTGCGGACTTGATGTCACATAAGTAGAAAACACTATATAATACCTGAATCAAGTCGTGTCATGGTCGTATGTGGAGTAATGTGATCGATTTTATTTACTCAAGGATGTTGCCCCGTGCTCAGACACGCGGGCTAATCCATTTCGGCAGTGTGCTATAATGCGGATAGCAACAAACTAGAGTATGGATGTGAAAAGCCCTGGAATTGGACAAGAAAAGAATGTGCATGTGAACCAACTTATTCGGGGAGTACAGTTGTAATACAAAAACACAGTGAGTAAAAATTCTTCAAGCGAATGTGTTACTCAAAAGCCACCTCGTGGTGGGCCTGGGCGGATATCCAGGATATCGAGGTACTTGAAACGATACTACTTAAGTGTATGAAGGGGTTTGGACAGCCATTTTCACCAGTTCGGATATCATTAAGTAGGTTGACTTTACCCAACGAGCTTCAAAAAGGCAAACTGGTAGTGGGCTGTTCAAGTGTTTTCCTCAACCAAGCATCAACAGCATCGTATCAAGAAAGAACATGATCATTGTTCGAAGAATGCCACCCGAGGTGAACCAATATGTTCTATAAAACAAAAGTATCCCAACACGGCGGAATTAGATGAATGGTCGAAACCATCCTCCTCGAAACTGTTGATCCGTATGATTGGGCTGGTTGCATTACTTTCGGGGTTGCAGCAATCAGCATTTCAAATTCGCTATTTGTATTCCATTTCAATACCGAAACCGACAAAATTCAGTCAACAGTGCGTAGAATACAACAGTCACCAGTACCAGAAGAGTTCACATACTCAGTAGCTGACCACGGTATGAATTACTCCTTACAATTAGCGACAGCCGTTTCGTGACGGTATCCTTGGTCTTGTGCAAGTAAAGTATATTTAGTTACATAGAGTAGACAGGCAGGCCATCATCAAGCCGAATAAAGTTGAAAATGGCGCGAAAATGGAACAAACAAAGAGACATAGTGCGCGGTTAACAACGACACTTCCGCTCACAAAGACGAAACGTCTGGAGGCCAGCGCGAAGGAAGGCCCAACTGCTACTCGAGCTATTTACACACAATGCCGAAATAAACTCTGAGGATCACAGAGGTAACCAGTCTGTACCACCAATACAAAAAGGGGATTTTCAGCCCCATATGTATTTCAGCAGGTATGGCGTACAAAAGTAAACGTCTTTTGATAAAGTCTTCAGAGAATAGTTGTAGCTTTGCAAGGAAGGGTTTCCACCAAACTACGTTCCCGGCACAGACATTGGCTATTTCAGATGGTTTTGCGACGGCCTGTGAGCTGTATACCTCCATCTGAACGCCGAGTAATCAACACATCTAGGAAAACTGTGCTTTTTCTGTTCATCCAGAAAACTCTTCGAGACTCCATTACCGGTTCCAACCTCCAAGGTGCTCATCAGATGGATGCAATTCCCGAGTTCAGATCATATTTAGGTCCTAATTGAATATTAAATTGTACTACACGAATACGATGTAGAGTCGTTTTCATGTTCACATCAGTTTCGTTTGTGTACTGCTCCTCCCATTCTGGATTAGTTGCTTTGTAAAATACTGCTTGCTCATTTTTACCAAATAAAGTATGATGCTTGACCAGTAGGCTGACTTTGTTATAGACGGGTATCGTCTCTCTGTGTAAAAATTTACCGTAGATGATAATCTTCATCACCGGGAAGACAACCAAGCATACAGTTCAAAGAAACTCAAGAAGTGATAAGAAAGAGATGAGGAGACCAAGGCAAACTCATCAACTAATGTTGGTTGGACCACTAGTTGTTTGCAAAAAAATCAAAACTATATGGTCCAACAACCTCTAACGTTGAGCACGTCAAAACAAGGGGCGTTTGGCCGTCAATATGGTCAGTCGATTCAGCTGCACACATATGGAACCATTCAGAAGGGACAATAGTGGTTGTTTCCCAAGACCATGCTCTACTTGGCGGCACCATTGAACTGGCGTTTCGTGATTTCGGTTGAGATGATCCCCGACGGGTGGTAGTACAGTCAAAACTGATGAAATCTTCCAGTTCCTTTCAGAGGGTGATGTAGTGCATGACTAGGGCGTTGAATACAGAGTAGCTAGAACTCGGTAACCTTCTAAGCAAATAGTGAGTCAATGAGGAAACCCTTCGTAACGGTAATCCAAAAGACCAATTTAGTTTGCCACCAAGCTTCAAAGTACATGACGTCGGCTTTTTATAAAATATTGGGTAGTGACGAACCTAAAAGAGTAGCTTTCCTTGAGTCTTCGCGAGGGTTTACAACAAATGTAATGAAAAAACCCAGCTAACTTCAATTGATCAGGAAGAAACAAACCGTGGATGATCCAGTCGGGGCGACAAGAATTTCCTTGACTGTAAACCGCTTAAGGAAACGAGCCTTTCGAAGGACGTTCTGCTTACGCAGACGGCTAGTTTACTTCACAAGAGGAAGTAGCATAACGGAAGTTTTTCGAGGCATTGACGAAAATTAACTATTTAATTGTCAGGGCGCGCCCAGACAGAAGAAAAAGCACATGTGCACAGAGTGACGCATCCCCAAGGTGACCATCGGTTCGACACGTCCGAAAAGTAGGTGAGTCGGCGGCTCCCACTAAACACGGCCAAGCAACACACGACCAGCGTAGTGGGCCTGAGAACGTTCACGACCGAACCACCACCATCGGCTGTACGGAGCGAACAAGTGAACGACCATATTTGGCCTATTAGTCATCCTATATATTTACGCAGACGCTCTGTACGTTTTGTCCTGGCAATACAGCCGTGTCCCCAGTTCTCTGTCTTCTCCCTATCGCGTAGTCTGGCAGGCACAGTGCAGGCGTAATCAATAGCTCGGCCACCGCCACCACTACAAGACACAACATTAATCGGGGCATCCGATGACACGATTGGTACAGTATACGCATCATCGGGCTCTCGTTGACTGGACTTAGCTTGACGTATACACACAGAACAATTCGTTGGAACATCGCACTTGCAATGAGGATCAAAGCTTTTGAAGCCAGAACATAGGATGCAGCAATACACAAAAGCGAGATATTGATCGAGTTCCTGGTGGTAACTACCGTTTTCGTTTTTATATTAGAATAAATATGTGTAGCAAGTGATCCGGTTATTGTTCGAGTTTGGCTTGTTTATAATGACTTAAACCACACAGGCTGATCGATGTACATCAGGTTCACTAGGGGGATACTGATACGTCTGACAGATACAAGACTACTGGCGACTTCACTTCGAGCGAAAGTCTACTTCGGCTTATAAAACATCGAGATAGAACCAAAATATTATTACCCCGATGATGAGGCATGTGGCACAAGCATTGTTGGCCATACCCCTAGTGAGGAAACAATACCGTCGAGATAGTTGAGTACTCCACAACCTGGAGGAGACTCTTTCGAGGTGTAAATCGGCGTCCCTGCTCCTCGCAAGCCGAAAACACCTTAAAGAGATTCTATCTTCTGGAAGAGACGACGGATAACTTTCTTAAACGAACAAAACAAAAGTGTGTACATGTCACTCGCTACGGCTGCACAGTGCGATCTAGTGGGGACGACGGGAGTAGGCAGAAACCTGTTTCAACTATACGCTGAAGTCACAGGATGTCTGGACGTAAAACAGCACTTTGTGCGGTATTGTCAGTTTGTATATAAGCCCGAATTTCCCGTCCACTCAAGACTGTGAAAGGCTCCGTCCGTTTCAAGCGTCCAACTTGCAGTGTTGAAGGTAGAACGGCAGCAGAGGTACGTGCATATCTTGGTAAACAAGGTATTCAGTTTATCTTAACATGAAATACTCAACATGGCGCGCACCTATTGTGTGTGTATGAACAGTTTCCTGCTCGGTTCGAAACTTTTCTTAACCAAACGAATGTCATGTGCCCCGAAGGTCTGAGTGTTGTTAATTACTGACCACTTTATATGATTTTTGCCGTTATATCCAAACTGACATGAGTGAAGTGGTTGAAAGTGGATGTGGGGCGACAACACAACCTACAATTGATTCGATTAATCCATATAACCACTTCACTGCCGCACAACATGCCAAATAAAGGATGAACGCACAATCACTCACCGTAAATGTGGTTACGCTTCAGGCTGTAGCTCAGACACACAAACCCAATGGTACCAGGTGGGATAGGATTTGGCAGCATGTTTGGTGGAGGCGAGAGAATCCCCAACGGTACGGCCATCGAACTGATAGAAGATGACAGTGCGGACACCAAATTACAGGCCTCCTCTGATTGCTGTTGGGAAGAAAACAGAGTTACGGGAATTACCACGAGAGCACAAAAAGATATGGAGTGAAACGCAACCAATATGAACATAGACAACTGAAGCCTACAAAAGTCGATGGTTTAACAGTGGAAGCAATCCAATACTGAGAACAAATGCCACAAAATAAGGGTTACATGCAGCGACTAGTTTGAGGGACAAGGATGTCAGTTATCCCGTCTCTCGGCTTAGTCATTAGGCTCAAATTTTTATGTGCATCGGCTTTACCATGTGCACACTGGTTTCAGGAACTGGGAAGAAATATACTTCTACACTACTAACCACGTTCCTGATGATCAGGTGCACGTGGCCACATCCCCTACATAGCAGATGTTATTCGGAAAACAGGTTAGCAACAGATGAACACATTTCCGAAAACTTCGCGATTGCACAGTTGTTCACCAAATCATCAGGCACTTCTTGCTGTATGGTCATATGGTTAAGCTTATGAGATTCATCTTGAGCATTCAAACCTGTTGTGCGGTCAATGAGCAAAGAATCGAACACCCCTGAGCACCGGTATCAGTCGACTGAAAACTTAGGAAATGAGCTCCACAACGCGAGAATTAAAGAAAAAGAGAAAGGCTGTGCATTCAAACAACGATAACCCATGAGAAGAGTACAGTCAACAGTTTAATCAGCATTTACTACCCATTTACTACTAGGGAAGACAAATTGATGGAGGAGCAGAAATAACCTTAATCCCATTAAGAGTTAACAAAATAAATGAAGGAAGGACTGGAGGACAATGAATCGATTTTGATACAAAAGCTTTGTCATGCCAAGAGAGGAAGTTGTAGGGAGAAACAATCGGGTCAAATTAATCGCAGATCAGACCTTAATTGAAGTTTTGGGTGGCAAGATTAAGTTATTTTATTGCCGGACATGTCATCGATTGTTTTCAGCAATTACTTGGGCTGTGTTGAGTTACGCGCGGAACCCTGAAAGTTAAATCAGTTTACCAACAAATGCGGTCCTATGAACACAACGAGAAAATAATAAAAAATGTACACGCATCAAGTTATGGGATTAAGCCGACATCCATACGCCGGGTTAGGAACTACCACTTCCAAAAGGGATCCCAAAGTTCACACTGACTCAAAGCACAGTGGCCACAAGATTGCCACATGCGATGACAAGGTCAAAGAGCGGTTAACGTTCAGGCCATAACTAGAAATATGGTAAATGCACCAAATGGAATATCGTTGCGTACGATGAGAGCTGAAGAATAGACACTTGCTCTACGTTAGATGGATGAGCAGGGGCGAGGATTTTTTAGCTAGAGGCTTGCTTATCCCATGTAGAACTCAGTGTAGTCATTCCATTTAGTTTTGTATGTACACAGTTGTTAGTTCTAGTAAACGAATGCCAACGTGTGACGTTACAGGCATTAACCAGCCTTTGAATAAACTTACGTGTCACTACTTTTTATGGGATAATACTTGGGACCTGTTATCCGGATGAACAGTTGAAGCTTAATCAAGAGCATCGGAATTCCAAATCTGGAGATCTGTGGTAAGTCTAAATTTGGGCTACTGGTCGTTCCGTTCGTAGAACGCCTATTCGGCTAAACGTTGATCAGATCGCATCAGTGTTGATTTACGTCAGACGGGCTAACAAGTAGTTCGAAATAACCAACCTATGTTGGTTTGTGGCAAGCTATAGATTTCCGTACAGTCCTTTACACACCCTAAGGAGTAGTGTGCCTGAATCGGACGCCAACTGCATGCTGAACTAAATTTGGGATTCAAAGTACTGATCATCAGCACTGACGAACTGATGGAAATCGTCGGTTTTCTTATTAATTAATTAATTAAGTATCACCGATTTAATTCACAAAGGGTTAGAATACCCGATGGAATCCAGAGTAAATAAACCTTAAAAAAACCACGCGCTTGGAGTCATTCACATACATATTGATCCAAACCAAACATCCGGAGATCTTACTCGAGAGATTCAAGCATGTTGTCGGGGTATTAGCGAAAAAATCTACATTGAGCTTGTGGTTCCAGCAGCAACGTCTGGATAACTTTGAAGCGTTCGTTCGGAGGAAATTTGTGTACAGCGACTTGGAATCAAAGCTCACGTAACTCTCATCTATTTCCAACAAAACCATTTTGACTATTTGCCAACCGTAAGAGTTCCCACGATGTGGCCAACTTACCTGTTTTAAAATACCTCGTTAGAATCTGGTGAGCTCACGTGATGGAGAGCCTGGTCGTCCACTACACATCACTTGAGTGTATATGCCATTTGGAATGGTGATTGGACTGCACCAAAAAAACAACACAGGCTGCTCACCTTGCCTAGCTGGCTTTGACGAATTAAGTGATTCTAAAGGTTTTCTAACGTTCAGCGTAGATTTCCACCAACTAACTGTGGGTAGTACTAGACGAAATATAGCGCTTACCCGTAAAACATAACCAAGGAACGATTCTCTCCCTTTAGGAAGAGAACAAAGTGCTGCGGTTTAATTCTGCCACACAAAACAGAGGAACAGCCCATCGGCATTTCGACAAGCGAACATCTTTTCCAAGAACGCTCCATTTGAAATGAATAATCATCCTTGGAATTGATCGCTGTACGATGAATTCTACATGTTATGTAGACCAGTGCATGCTCTGTCTGCCCATCACCCACTTATTCTCTCTGGTCCGACCCACAATTGCAGAAAGCTCTCCGCGAAATATCTCTGGTTTTTTCTTCCAAACATCCTGCTATTCGAAAACTCTCTAAGGATACTAGTGTGCTCAAAATCTGAAATGTATGAGACCTTGGTCACTACATTTGCCTAGCCGTGCTGCTCTTCCCCAAATAGGCTGTAGCCGAAGGCTTTTACCCTTCTCAATCGTTTGAGTTCAGTAAGAATGCACTAGGTGTTAAGCTTCCAACAAGATCGGTGTTTAATTCTAGACCGAATGAACGTGGTGGCTGTCGAGTACCTTTTCGACGCCCAGGAACGCCCCCAAATACCCATGTTTAATATTATAAACGCATACGGGGTTCCTATCCGGTTTTAAATTTGCCGTTTCATTGAACAGTGCGAGCAGATCACCGCGTGAGATACGTGACGTTAGACGGAGTTCACACCAAATCAATTCGAAAACATTTAAATACTCCTTAGCTGAAAAACCCTTGGGAGAATGAAAACAGAGGGCAAACGTATGGGCCAATACTTGGGCTACACTCATACCCAACTGATTTCTATGATTGTCAGATTAAGTAAGAACAACCAAACGTTCCACTCTCGCAACATATGTCAGAGTTATCAACGGCCAACAGATACGCAGGGTGGAAATCCAATATTTTCTAGGACCATTACGCACTTCGCGCAGCGCAGTGAAAAGAGTTATCCGTAAGCTTGAACTGGAACGTGGTGTCCACTTCTGGCACGAAAACGGATCACTATGGTCATATGAATTCACCCACCACCGGAGATTTAACTGTTTATTATCCACAAATGACTCCTTTCAAATATACACATACACCTGGATGAAATGTATCAAGTTGCGACAACTCAGTACCATGTGGTAAGCATTAGATGTAGACCAATGAATGATGTTTGAAATGGAAACATAGACTAGAGCACATAAGACATTCAAGAGGGAAGGAATGTCAGTCAATCAGGACTTGAGGTTCCCAAGGCGGTCTTCATATGATTGATCGAAACCCATTTACGTAGCGGATCAAACTGGATGACCGGAACTGAAGTAATCGGATTCAACACATCCCAACAATCGATAATAGTCCGGACAATGCACACCTAAGTTTGCTGCCAAGGGAGCAGTCGGAGCAACCAACCAACTAAGTGAAATCAGAAGGCAACTCCTACGGGAAGTCGACGGTTCAGTCAATTTGTTGTGCTAAATGCATTGAATATTTGCGGTTTTCCCAGACCTGGCAACCGGTCATCGGTGCTAGGCAACATGTATACGAGAAGCCAGTTCATCCTGCCAACGAAGATAGTCGTCTTAAGTAAATGTATACAAACATACGAGAGAACGGCCGAAATTCGAGTCGATGTAAGTGCGTATGGTGTACAACATGTAGATTTTAGTCTTCGTGGAAAATATTATTATTCTAACTACAGAAAATATCGTATATCACACAACTCCGTTTGCAAGAACGAACAGACAACCAGTGGGGAGTGGAAGACCAGTGGGCGTTTTCCAACTAATGGGGTTTGATACACAACTAGGGCGTGAGCTTTGCCATTCGTCCGAACACGAACTGATACACACAACCAGTCCTCATGCAGTTTGCGCCGTGGAAAAAACAAATGTCTACCTGGGTGTGGTTCGTGATGCTATCTATCCGTCTATCTAGGAAAATGGCCAAAAAAGCAGGAAATCACTGCTTCGGGCAAAAGTGGGGCTTCAAAACAAGAAATATCTGTTCAACAGTTTCATCATCCAGATTACCACTTTCTGTCGAAAGTGATCACACAAAACAACCTGAAAAAAAGGTTAAGCCGAAACAAGTGCACAAAATTTCGTGATCCAACAGTGCATCTAAGAGGTTATGTCGGATTAACAATAAATCCGAATTGATGAACTGGAAACCTCGTTCATGCAGCCAGTGCAAACTTACCGGCAACTCTACTAACACCTGAGCAAGCAGATTACCACCAGGGGAGTTGTTTGTTAGCCGATGAACCAGCGCACTGTCACAATGAGCCAGAATGATGGACAATTGGGCGACCGGTCCCCACAGTTGCATATTCAATTGACTGAGAATGACAATGAAGAACAAGTTTTTGGTGAAAAAATGGATGAATTCCGAAAAGCTGAGGTAAACATACACTACATGAACACTTTGAGAGCTCAGAAAACCTGCCATCAAAAAACTTAGTTCGCGACCATTCAGGTACAAAAGTGGTAAAAATGGGGTTCCCCATAAGTTGATTCCCTAAGCATGCTTGGCTTGCAGAAAACCAGTATGCCAGAGAGCAGAACTCAAAAGTATGGGATCCAACCTAAGAACTTGGAAGCTGTCAAGGTTACCGTGAAATCAGTGAGGAATGAGTGGTGCTTTGGAAGGAGATGAATAACCCGAAGAGATCCGACCTTATCATGGTGCGCAGGTCAGCGACTCATTGGGCTATAGTGGGGATGCCCATGCAGCCGCCATAATGACTGTCCTACAAGAATGGTCAGCAGGTAGAGGTGTAAACGAACGAAATCGCCTGATTCGCCAGTTTCAGGGTCGGAATAAGTTGGGTAAGCAGTTCCTTAAAAGCTAAGCTATTGCGCTAGTCTTACGGTTGGGGTTTTGAGCCAAAGACCTTAGTTGAGGACCCTAGTCGTCCTATTGTCAAGGTTTGGGCTCCATAGTAAGAATTCAGCCCACATACAACCATAAGCTTCACAAAAGTACCTTCACGCCACATCGATCATCGTGTATCCTTAGTTGACCTAGTCGTCCTATTGTCAAGGTTTGGGCTCCATAGTAAGAATTCAGCCCACATACAACCATAAGCTTCACAAAAGTACCTTCACGCCACATCGATCATCGTGTATTGACATCAGTAGGGTCGTCGTCTTATTCGCTCCATACGGTGGGGCAGATAAACAAGAACACATGGCTCTTGACAGCTACTATCTTCCATTATTAGTATCTCTCAATTACGGACCTGTCTCTTTTATTAAGTACTGTTCTGTAAATGGCATGTAAGTCAAACACCAAGGTGGTAAGCGAATGGTACACCGTAGCTCACACATGCCACCTTACACTCAAGAACCGAACCTAGTCGTCCCATTTTTACTGTTCGAACCCCTAGACAAGCTGAGCAACAAGCTGCTCCTGTGCTCACTCTTGGTAATTTTCCAATAGACCTTCGCTGCGTTTCTGAAACCCGATGCCATCCATTACGAACATCCGGGGATTCTTCAGCTGAAATGTTGACATAGCTCTAAGTTTCTGATCTGAAGCTTCCTAGCTTGATTGAATACTTGTGAACAGTAACCTCAATGCAACTCACCCCATAAGGACTCGCACCAGTCGAAATACTAACCGCTACTTGGTTACAGTTTCTGCTTGTCCGCCAATCAACTGTAGGACCAATTGAGAATTACTGAGAAACAACTGCCATGCTATCCAAAACGAAGAGCTCACATAAACTACGAAAATTTCGATAAACAAGTACGGCGCCTTGGTGACAATGCTAATTTTTGGACCCAAGGCGTGATCATAACGTTGAACGACCTCTACAACTTCGTGCTGACCATCAGTTGTTCCTCGGCTGTACTGGGTTTGGGCGCATTGTTCACCATTATGCCACATCGCATCCCGCTCTACTGCTGAGCAAGCATGCAGCTTAATTGATCACGTGGCCATTGACCACGCTAACGAGGCCAAATACTCGATTAATGGTCATTCGTAGATAGCTGAAGAAACAATCTCGTTTGGCAGCTGAAGATCTTTTCTAACCACGTGTTAAACGAACATACCAGAAATGACTGTGATGCACTGAAAATGACCTCGCCAGAAGACATCCATAACTAGAAAATAATAACCACTAAAAGTGATGCTGGTAACTTCTGACTTGGTGTTTCTGAGCACACACGCGCAAACCATTGGGTTTGGGAAAAATTGTTGCCACTTCTTTATGCATGGGCCGCAGCATAATTCAGATAGATGATCCATCAAACGTCAAATCAAATGACCACCAACTCACCGCTACGCACCACTACGCTCCCCAATAACGCACTGATGATGTCACCTCGATTGGTGATGGAACGTTTGCAATCCAATCGCCTAGCTCAGCGAACAAGCTAACGGCCATCTACGCTACCTGAGCTACAGACATTTTCCTCTATAGAACAAACGAAGTTTGTGTGTAGATGGGGAGCCGTGCTGGAGCATTCTAGTACAGCGAGGAATGAAAGCAATTTCCTACACCCATTCGGTAAAACAGGACATCGCCTCTCAGTGAGCTAATCAAAGGTGATATTGGAATTCTAATAAATAATAAGTGTCAGTACGGAGATCACGGGGCAGAAACAGTTTGGTTGGCCGTAGGCCCATGTCCTCTATTCGACTCGCTGAATCGCGATCTGAGTTCGAATCTTCCTTCGGTTGATTAAATATTCGTGTCCTTCTGTCTCGAAGCGTCATCGGTCTGCCAGATACACCTCCATCAGCGCTACTTAAATCCAGCGATGTGTCACTGTGTTCTGTCTTATTTAGACTGTTTGAGCCTATTAAGATAAAAGAAGGCGTATGGGCAACTTGCGGCAATCAACCATCATACACCTATTCAAAAAAGGGCACAAGGCGACTGTTCCGGAGACTGTTCATAACGCGAATGCTGGCTTTATTAATAATGCGACGACTAACCCCACCGCGAGACGCAAATCTGAGAGCACCAATCAGGATTTTGCCCGGATACACCGATCACATGTCAAATTCTTCAACAGTCTGCCAATTTCGGTTTTCCTCAACTTCAAAGGAGTCACTGACATGTAGGTAGTTCAGTTCGTCTACATAAAACCGACCAGAGCTCCTGAAGCTCGTAAGTAGACTTGGTGCGCCCTATTCCATAAATTTTCCTGTGGAGTCCGGCAAGGCTGTTGTCAACGTTCAATTTCGTCATCGACATTATCATGGAACTCACAAGTCAAGCGGCCGGTGATTTTGATATGGAAATTAAGCCTAGAAAAAGACTGGTAGACTCGGAATATACGGACGATATTGTCTCGTCATTTAACGTCCATAGGGCCATTCCTAGTTTCTGTCTGCATTTCGCACCTTCGAAGTGCAGTGTTGCATCAGGATTCTGATTCTTCCTGGGTCCCTCTGGGACTTCGGGAAGGGAAGGCTGCATAGGGCGTTACTATACTATAACAAAATTCAAAGCACGTAATATAAAAGCACGAGTGACATTCGAACAAGCGTCACTCTTGGCGTCGGAAGCGAAGTTCACTGATGCTAAAGGGCTGTGTCTACAAAACATCTGTATCAGGAGAGTCGGATTCCCAGGACGCCCGGGACCTAATACTAAGAAAGCCGGCAAGCATCCAGGCCAGTCAATCATTCAATCAATTCAGCAAAAGCCGATGATTGTTCAGGCGCGGCTCAGAAGCACGACGGAATGTGATCAGCATCCAGGCATTGATAGAAGCACGATCGATGTTGATGGGTGTTCACTAAACGCCTATCAGAAAGTCGGGATCAATGTCAGGAAATGTCTTTTAAATAGCACGGAGCCGTTGTAACTTTTGCACTCGCACGCACTCACTTGTTGCAAAAAAGCTGTTGTGTTTCTTGTCAGTGAGTTATATTTCTAGCACTGGAGTGGGAACAGCAGTTAGATATAATCTGTAATGACGATATCACTGAATAATCATCAGAACTGGCACATCCGATTAGAGGACATTAGACTGATTAGGTTAGATCATCGGTATCTTCTTGGTGTGATAAGTGTCAGTTGGCTGCGGTCTGTTCGGCGCGTAAACAAGCATTTGATGACGAATCAGAAAGCAAGAGGAATTCAGTAGGTTAAGGTGGTTGGAACACGCACTGCACAAACTCAACCACCATGTATCAAAGAAAGCACTATTATCAATCCCCAACTTTTGTTAGCGAAGGGCCTACAGGGGACGAACCATGACCTAGCAATACGAAATGATACTGTCAAATTGAGTGTTGTGGGGTTTCGCAGCTTTCTGTTCGAGTTCCGCGCAATCTTTCTTGCACGTGATTAGAAACCTTACTGGACATAGCCGACCACAACGGCGAGCAGGCCATCATTTCTGAGCAGGACTGCCTAGCTGAACTTGATCTGTCGTTGTACGGTGAGCTCATGTCAAGAGAGGTTTGAAAATTATGTTGAGGCAGTACTTTTGATGGCGTCTTACTTTGATGCGAAAGTGAGGTGTGTTTATCTCGCTGACGTTCCAATATGCAGGTACCATATGGTATAACATGCCATAGTAGTATATGGCTTTGTAATAAGCCACGTCCTTTCTCTTTGATTTTTACTGTTTACTGGGCACTCTTCCCCATGATTCTATGATAGTTAATCATCAGTATTTATTGGTGTATTGCTGTCGACGTTGATCCAGTTGGTAGATTGGTAGATGAACTTCACTTCAGTGTAGAAGTGATAGTTACGTGGCGGTGAATTGCGTACGTAATAAGGTTTGGATCGTCACAGCATGCGGCAGTGGACGAAGAGAAGGTTCGTGAAGGCAGCAGAGTGGGCTGGTGGCCTCATTATATCAAGCCTATCACATTCAGTGCGTAGATCACAGTCTCTGCTATACCGGACAGACAGAGCCATTCAACATCAGTGAGCTGATTGAGCCACCGCCTCCAACACGTGGCTCTCATTCCCTTATACCCCGTGTTTTTGATTAACGAAGCCGCCGCATAACGGAACACAGATTTCCGGTTGGAGAAAACTGAACTGGACTAAATCATTAAAAATAGGAAAATGGATGTTGCGGCATCACTGACTGCGCTGCAAGGTCATGTTGGCGAGTAACGCTGGGCCTTTCGCACCTCATCCATGCATCGGTGTGGCTTACGCTTGCTGTAACGCTTTCCATACCTTACCTTTGGTTGATTCGCCATCCAATATACGGTTCAGCTAATAACCAGCTAACGGTCATAAAATCTACCACTTGGCATACACAGCAAATGACCGAGTTAGCATTGTTAGTGGATCCAAACCAACTCATCGGCCGTAGAAACGGTTGATTTAACACAAGCCCCATCCACCGCGCTTGCTTGCTTTTTACTGAGACGCATAAGAAGCTTTGAAGTCACTGGCGATGAAAGTCAAGTGATCGCCTTGTGTTTGCTCCATCACAAGGTAACACTGTACATACTGTAACTTTCACTAACCAGCAGATATCACGTCTACCCCACGAGTTTCGGAGGAAGACAGAACAGGCTTAAGTAATACTACAGCTCACTTCGCCAATAACAATGAAGTCCCAATCAGTGGGATGATACAGGTGAGTAAATTCGTCCTCCACCCCACCTGCTCTGATGCCACAACCACGTTTGAAGGTGTGCCTTCAGAGTTCTTCAATGATGCATTGCGGTTAGAGGGTACCGGATAGCACGGGAAAATCAATAAGTATACGTGGAATTTGAACGGAGTTCGACATCGTCTGCCTATTAAACGTCTTTGAGATTTTCCCAAGAACAATGTGACAGGTTTGTGCGACAGTTAGCTCCATTAGGACAGGGTGATTTCGGTACGAATCTATGAAAACTGTTCCTACTAAGTGGAACTGTCTGTACTGTGGGTACCTGGAACGGGAAGTTAGGCTAGACTTTAAAATAAGCTGTAAATAAGCTGAATTCACTGCCTTCATATGTTCGTATGGTGAAGGGATCTGCTGTGCTGTGAACAGAGAAACTCTATTGTGCGGGTCAGTGTAATGAGGGTGTGGGACCGCCGGTGGTTGTTCACGGACATCAGTGTACATCGTGGGGGAACTAACTGGAACAGCGGTGAATTATGCCATAAAACAGTATAGGCTGGTAAGGTGACCGATATTTTGGAGATGCGGATTTGGTTCCATCGTGAAGACATGTGATGGTGTATCCGCCATTCTCCGATCACTTCTTCCAACATCTGGAATCTGTCAAACTGCGGTCGGGGGCGAAATGGTCCAAGTGGTTAGAGCGCGAATTTACTGACCAGAAGGTCCGTGGTTCGAACCCAACCTATGACTCTCAACTTCCCCTGTCTAGGCTTGGGCAACCTGGCAGTATCTTAGCCCTCGTGTGGCATGGCAGCTAGGTGCCGAAAGGGTGTTAGAGCTGAGCAGTTTTAAACTGTGGTCGATCTGTTCTTCCTTTCTCTAAACTAACTAGAAGGGAAACGTCCAGTGGCTCGTTTCTATTCCGAGGCTTGTTTTCGTTAACAAATGGCGCACCAATCAAGAAACCTCTGGCTTACACTCGTACACAGCTTGTCTCCTTTAAGTTCACATATTAAGTTTATCATACATTATACGTACCTCCTTAAAATTTATGAGGACGCCACAGGTTCGCTTGGTAAAGTTTCGTCCCCACTAGAAATGAGAATGCTTGTCTTAACAATAAAAGGTTGTTGAAATTAGCGGAAATCAGAGCCAGTGTTGCGTAGGATAGGGACAGTGGCTAATTTGCTCGAATGGTGTAAAGGATAATAAATTGCAGTGTTCAGCTAAACTGGCATTTTCACAATTACAAACTTCCGGTGGGTCGGTGGAGCATTTTGTCACCCTATACCAATGTTAAGTCAATAAAGTGATAGTAAAATGCTAAGGAAATTACCAGAGTGATTACGTCCCCTCTGTGCTTGGTCTTTGTCTGGCCCTACAAGTTTCGAAATATTTGTTGACGCGCGGCATACACGGTCTTCTGTACAATCAATGTAACTAAGACGAAAAAAGTCAGGAGAATATAACCTACCTGAAGTCGCGCAATCCAGCTTGCTCCAGTATGAGACTCATCTTCAGACGAGAGGGACCGGAAAAATTAGGATCGTTCACATGCACTTCGCCTTCCCAGAGCACCGAATGACTCACCGGTGCTTGTGTGTCCAATGCGGACGACTGTGGTCGTTGCATGGATTGGGAGAGTTGATGTGAGCCCGAATCGAGGCTAGATGAAAACGACGGAAAACAAAGTCATCTGGTTCAAAGTGTACACTGTCAAGGACACTTAGAAACCTCATCTGATCACTTTTCTCCATCCGCAATCACCAGATCGGTGTAGTTAAAAAAAAAGAGAGAGGAGCAACACGTCACGCCTGAAGAGAGAGAATGTTGAAGACCTCAGTAACTTTGCTCCATTTCCAGCTATGAATCAGGATGAACTGCGAGATTCCACAGGCTTGGATGAGATGCACCAGCAGGTGAGGATTCAAAAAGACGCATCTACTGAGCTAACTCAACCCTCAACAGAGGCCGATGAACGCGTGACCAAGGATGATTAGCTAGGTATATATTGAGATTAGCTAGCCTTACGATGAACGCTCAGTTTGTCCAAAGACAATAATGAGGAAACTATAATGGCAGTAGATGACCATCCCTGAAACCAAATCCTAACTCACTAATAAAGTCGTGGAGGGGGGGCTCCCCACCCAAAGGGCTACGAGGNGATGAACGCGTGACCAAGGATGATTAGCTAGGTATATATTGAGATTAGCTAGCCTTACGATGAACGCTCAGTTTGTCCAAAGACAATAATGAGGAAACTATAATGGCAGTAGATGACCATCCCTGAAACCAAATCCTAACTCACTAATAAAGTCGTGTAGGGTGGACTCCCTACCGAATGGCCTACGAGGACCCCGATAAAAGGAGAATAATACTTGTCTGCTCTCAGTTGGTCACGTTTCTCTATAAAGTTCAGAGAAAGTAACGAAACCGTTTTGATTAACATGCAGGCTACTGGTTGTTGGTTTGTAGCTAAATTACTAGGCTCAGCGAGCAAATCAACGGCCATCATTACAATCTGAGTCGCTAATATTCTCGTCCACTGCATTTATGTAGCTACATGGTTTGACCACATAAACTACCTTGAGCGCTTATATTTTACAAAATGAAACGTACATATCTCAACTAGGCACTAAGTTAACGCGCGATGTTACAGACCAGGAGGTCCATGCTTTGGAACCAACTCCAGCTTTTCGGTTGAGCCTGTCCAGTCTTAAGAGAATCGACAGTATCTAAGCCCTCGTACTTTCTTCTGTTTGCATGGAAGCTATGTGCCGAACGAATGCTATAGCTGAATTAAGCACTGGTAAACACGGCAAAGATAGACCACTTCGAAACTTCACGATGAGTGGTATTTGTATCGAAAATCAGTGTAGTAATGATTCGCGAACTCTCTGAGACAAGTGATGAAAGCAGACCAAAAGTTGACTTCGATCTGCGAAGCGAATTGAATCGATCTCGTGCGTACAGAGAAGGTTAGCCAGATAAGTCACCTTGGAACGACGCGAACAAGTAAAAATTGAGCCCTAGATTTCATGCACGCAAAGATACGGACAACTTAAAAGAAAGAGCATTGGAAAATGTTTGGGACATGTTGGTGCACAAGCCGCTGATTGACACAATTATCTTCACATTAAGATTGTTGCTGGGCGTGCCTGGTCGTGGTGGAACAATCGACACGAGACAATACAGAAGACAGTTCATGTTAACCACGTTCAACTTGTGATGTATGTGTGTCTTACCACTACCACCACTACGGCGTATGTGCGGTCGATCTGTATACCGTGGTGTGATACAGTACAAGAAAACAACAGTATAAGCTAAGAACTACGGATGCATAGGAACACATATAGATAGACTGATGAAATCTATACTTGTAGAGCACTCATATCCTCTATTGGGCATTAGAGCACAGAGCATATATTCTCGAAGAAAACTACAATTAATTAAGAATTGCCAAACGGGAAGTCTCACGGAGGTATTAGGAAAAAAGGAACGCAAAACGTACACAACAGTGAAAGAACTAATTTCAAAAAGGATCTCAATACTCTGCTTTAAGGCTGAAACTATTGACAGAGAGTGGAAGAAAGGGTGGCTCTGTGATTGGAAAATGCGTAAATGGCTGATATAGGCTGCGACGCTTTTTTGCTTTTCGCAGTTAACTGAAGTGACCACAACAGCGAACAGCTGAACGTGCAATTGGACTCAAGCTAAATTTCACATACTCAGCGGCCATGATAGTTGAGGTTCCGTTCAAAGAGACAGTCATTTGACGATGGATGTTCTGGCCACGCCGTTCGCCAAACGTTTTGTGCCTCTCGTTCCTTCTCCCAACCACATCCAGAACGCATGGATAGCAACGATATAATAAGCATCGGATGTAGGATGAGACGGAGCCAGCTCAAGTAGCGCAACGAAACATTCCCGCTTATGGTGGGTCTGTCGGTGACGAGCAACTTATGCCCTAACATGCCATTTCTGGCGCTCTACTTCCACAGCACAGTCCGATGTTAGATAGAAAACGATTCGCAAACATATTGAATCAACAAACGTCATTTACACGGACAGGCCAGGTTTCAAACTCATGTACCCGAACAGCAAATACGGCGGCGCAATAGAACCAACCATATCGTATCACAGCCAGTGGTGGTTGAGGCTGGTAAACACTGTTCTGGAGAAAGACAACTTTTCCACCAACTCCAACAGTGTCAACATAACGTTCTACACAGACGATGTGGCCGGCTATGTTAATCCTGTGGAAGAGACATTCTAGCTGTCAAACGGCCCAAGATTATTTGCATTTCCTAGGCGGCGGTACAGTTAGGACGACATCCCTGTCGAACGTTAAGTCATCTACCTATGCAATGGGGAGCAATTCGCCACACCTTTCAGGCTAACCTTACAGTACATTGTGGAGAATATAGGTGGCCACAAAGGCAAACAGGAATGCAAAAATAAAGCAGCCATACTGCACGCCGATGGACACGGCATGGGAACGTGGAAGTTGACTGTAAACCCTGGTTTTCCATTAGGTTCGATGATGAAGTATCACTTCACAATTAATTCCACAGAAACGTCCCACTCAAGCAGTCGAATGTCATTTCGATACCGAGAAACATGATGATGGATGATCTATTGTGTATGCTACGATGTCCGATCCGAGTGTTTTCATGAAAACGCTTATCTGATTGTATTCTTTGAACCACAAGGGATGCATACAGGACAGGCGAAGTTACAATTTGCGGTTAAATGTCATCAAGTCACGGCAATTAATATTAGTACAACAGATATCTCCAAATATTTGAATGCAGTGTGCGCTGGCTTTAAAGAACCATCAAAATTTTCCCCGAAAACCATTAATAAAGGGCCGGTTTGCTCGATGACAATTGTTCTCAACGACTGATTTAAAAAATAGCAGAAGCTGTTTCTTCCATGAATGGTATCATCCCTAAGCATAAAGAAGCACATTTAATTCCTGCATTCTTCACAGTACATGGAGTGGTATGGAGGAATGTCACACGGCAAACGAAAAGCCACACCAAGCTTGAGTCTGACTAAAATTTGTGTAGTTCAGCCGGCTGACCCGTATTGCACTGTTTAGCCACAACTAAACTGAAATAGCTTGCCTACGGTATTCCAAAGGGAGACTGATTCACTCCTAACGAATAGAATTGTGGGGCACTGGTCACCCCTATTAGGTGCCGAGTTCCTTTTGCCATCGGCAATGTGGTACGAGCATTAGAAATACCGCTATCCGAATTACTGCACACGCATAAAAGGTAGTGATGGTCCCGATCATCTAAACTACACGAAGTCGCGACCGGCGGCGAATTTGCGTAATTTGAGTGTAAACCATTTCACTCCTTCTGTACTCCTTCGTTTGATTCTTCTACTTCTCTTATTCCATTAGTAACTCCCCTCCGAAAGCACAAACCCAACCTAGAAATAGCGACTCTAGATTTCTAGGTTCATTTCAAATAGATGCAAGTTGCTTACAGATAGTGGAACCAAGGGGGAGGAACCATGATAAACCATACCGAACAAACGTACCGGCCGGAGGCAGTCAAAGAATTCGGGTCCCGATGTGTACCAGGACCACCCGGAACGCCAGCCGAAGTGCCGGTAGAAGGTCTGCCTGAATTGACACTGGTCTGATATCCGGGACAGGAAGAGGGCAAGCCAGGTCGATATGCTTGCGAGTCGTACGGACGTGCTGTATTGTCACCCATCGCATGTGACGGTGGATGTCCAGTCAGCCACATTCCAGTGGAACCAGGGCCGGGAGAGATGGGAATGTTTTCTTTCATTTGGTATGCATTGGGCATCGATTGGGCAGGTGGACCACCAGGAGGGAAATGGATAGGAGTGAGTGAGCGAGAGCGGGCCCCGGGCAACCCATTGTCAGGCGATGCCAACTGGTAGGATCGAGCAGACTGAAGGATGGGAATAAGATACATTGACCACAGCTGCCTTTTACACGGCAAATTATATTACAGAACAGGAGGTTGCATTTCGTTTTGCTCAGCTGTACACATGGGAAAAGAGTATTAAAGGAAGTGAAGTCAGAGTGTTCTTTGTGCAAGAACATTTGCTCTCATCTCTTAGACAACTGAGTCGAATCGATTTCCCTGTGGTTAGCCACATGGCTGGGTCAGTCTGACATTAAAGAGTGTGCGACTCCAAGTGATCAAGACTTGTAAAATTATAGCACAACACAAAACGAATAAACCACCAGAAAGGCGATGGTTCGTATATTACGGAGAACAGTCTACCAATAAAGCATCTGGCCTGAAGGCACTGGTAACGAAAGACAGGAAGCTACTTATTCCTTCATAACGAAAAGGAGCAGCACACCAAAGGTCAGTGGTTGTGAGCTGGAGGATTTCTCCGCCAAAATGATCAAGAACGTCGTTTGCCGAGTGGACACAAGTAGAGTCGAAAAAACAGGAAAATTTCGGATCGCCTCTCTCAGCAACAAAGCATGTAATAAACGTGAGACTAAACCAAATTTTACGACAACTTTTTTATCGCCTAATTCTAATGGGAAGATACAATGAAAACATCCAAGTCCAAATGCTCTAACAACGTTCGACACTAACCGAACATAGGGATTTGTAACTTTGATGGCACTATACAAAATCCTTTAACCTGAGTAAGAAATATCCGTCAGTGTCAGTCACGATAGACGAAAATAGACAGCAAACAAACAGTCAATGAAAGTGGCCATATCTATAGTATTCCTTGATTTTCCGGCAAACAGACCCTCCATAAGATTAACATTAGGAGATAGTTCGAATGGCTCAACTGGTTGTTCTTGAAATAAACCTTGGAGCATACGGTGACCCAAAAATTAGCGGATATCCTATGATTGGAAGAACTATTTTAATCGTTCACAAAGAAATATGGAACTGGGAAACAAAACATATGAGAAACTCCATTAGGACGCGCAAACCAAGTCCCGAAACTGCTAAAATCGCAGAATGCAGAGTAAAAGGAAGAGACAAGAGGGGTAATCTAGTCATGGAGGANTGGAGCATACGGTGACCCAAAAATTAGCGGATATCCTATGATTGGAAGAACTATTTTAATCGTTCACAAAGAAATATGGAACTGGGAAACAAAACATATGAGAAACTCCATTAGGACGCGCAAACCAAGTCCCGAAACTGCTAAAATCGCAGAATGCCGAGTAAAAGGAAGAGTCAAGAGGGGTAATCTAGTCATGGAGGGGAGAGCACTGAACAGTCTCGTACCTGGCACTGAAGTGCTACATACTATGCCCATGTACACTAAGACAGTAGAGGGAAAAACGAACCGAAAGAATGGCCGCACTGAATGACAACAACGTTTACGAATGGAGCTCGTAAGTTTTATGGAACCTTTGCTTATTCGCACCGATTTTGTGTTGGGTGTGCGTTGGAACGACCTCATGTGTGGTTCTCCGGGAAAGAGGTTTTGAATATTTAGCATCATTGGACACTTATTACAGCATCCTCAGTGTCTGCACAAAGCCAGCTTTCCTGAGGCACTACATTACTAAGGTGCTTGTGTTCGACCTGAAGTAATTTATCCGATAGGTTATCGAACTTAAAAAGCAACGACGAAATATTCCTCCATGTCAATGACGAGATAGACAGCCTGATCACACTGAGCGGTCCTAGCATGAAAAACCGAGCTGCACGTTTCTTTACCACAGTCTGCGAGCTTTAGCAACGGATCGTTCGGATCATTTACCCAAAAAAATAACCAAAGGTCATCAGACCTGAACGTGAAAGTCAGTTGAGCATGCAAAAAAAAGTCTGGTCATTTACAATGTTAGTACTTGTCAGTAAAGCTAGGAACTACGTTGAGAGGTGGCTCACTCGGTCTATCATACAGACTAAAAGCTTGGGCAGTCAAAGGTGCTCTCCCTTGATGATATGCATCTACAAAATACTTCTCTGGGGGAGAGGAAACAGTCATGACCAAAATCGACAGAAATAGCGAACTGTTTGCCTGCCTTTCTATCTCTAGAAGTTAAGAGAGACGAATTTGGGAACACCGAGTCACGTGAGCCGAACTGGGGGTAGGGAATTTCGTCTCCTGTAGACACAATAAATTCACAGGCCAAATGACTTGCGCATGAAATTCAACCCAGTGATCCGTAAGAATGATTGCGTCACGCATCTTTTTTCAGGCATGTGAACATTATTGCCTAAAAACTCAATTGACTACAGATGAAACCGCCCACATGCGCCCGTACAACCACGATAGGGATACAAATATCTACACTGGTAGGCAAACAACAAGCATGAGGCGAAAATTATCGTTTGTGTGGTGACCGCGTTTCGCAAGAAAAGGGGAAAAAGAATGCTGAGAATACCGTCAAAGTACTCAGGAAAATGAGTATAAGGAGAGCTAGTTTTCCCCATGTGCGTATCGGGGCCAAATAAAATAAGTAAATTGTTCATCTGTAGTACCCGTAGGTGCCTAGCTGCCATGCCACCAGAAACGAGCAAGAGGGCTTGGATACTGCCAGGTTGCCCAAGCCTAGACAGGGGAAATCGGGAGGCAGAGGCATAAACTGCTCGACGGCAAATGAGTGAGTAAAAAGCAGAAAATGAACCATAAAACAGCATCATCAGAGTAAAGAATGATGGTCAGAGTTAGTAAGATGTCGGAATGAGTGCAAGTGCAGCCGAGCCAGGTTGTGAACGAAATTGAATATTTTCACCGGCAGTATGATTCGTCTTTAAAATTAAACTATTACTCAGTGTTCCGTCGCGTGCATTTAGTTCCTACATACCTGATGTGCATATTTATATAAGCACCTGGACTCAAAGATTGTGCGCCTCATCAAAAAATTATCCAGTCCTCCAGAGCCATTCGTTTCTGGATTCCACGGTCTGAGACATGTGCCTCAACATATGAGGCTTGGGTTCACATGGTGACGCTCCTTGAATTTCAGACAAGACAGCAAGCCTAATGAAGATTAAACCTCTCAAATTGGATCCTTTGTCCACCAGTAGGATAACATATCGGTCAGGGTCTGTGAGTGAATGAATACAACTATTAGAATGTCACCAGACGATTACAAGATAGCATGATTTTGTATTAGAGGCAAACCAACCTAAACCCATAACAGTGTTGTATGGGAGTGGCTCACCGTGTTGTGCGTAAAAAGCTGAAACTATTCGTCAGTGGATAACTATGCCTCAAAGAGTACATGGTGCGAAGTTTGTCGCAGACATGAATAATACTAAAGAGAGGAGAGGTATGCATACATATCAATGGCAAGTCAGACCAACGCACTCTTTCCATTCACATCGGACCGATCGGTAGATGGTTCAAATTAGATGGTAATCCCTCAACCCATCTGTTAATGATTATCTTGTTTGAACAGCCTCCCTACCATCCTGCTGACTAGTCCACGCTAGTTTGGGATGTGGATTAACAAGAGACCGTGCCAAGAGAGGAGGAGAATCACTAAAGTCACAGTTGTCTGAATCCAAATTCTAAAGATCCAGAAACTATTTGAAACTAAATGACAATCAGGTGAAAGGAATATCTAAGAACAGTATGTGTTTGGTGGCGCACTGCGATAGAACGCAGTGATTTGGTTGGGCAGAAATAAGCAATAAATACATGTATCCATCATGTACAACTTTTGAACAGAAAAGTACATGTTGCAGTACTCTACCCCACTCGGGGAATGTGTTTTTGAAAGTGACGCTTCTTTCTAAGAAGAATGATCGTATCGCCCGCTTTCTGAAGCAGACTAACGAAACTTTAGCTCTGTCCGGGTACTGCAAACAGATTTTGCACATGCACAAAAAATATTTGCTTCGTCACGGATCTGATGCGTCAACTTTTTAGTACCGCTGTATTTCCGTGACAATTGGTTCGTCGGTAGACCCATCAAGAACTTAGTTACAGCTTAGCAAATCACCGCTGAATCGCCAGGCAACTAATTGTTTCACAATCTGTTCATTGATAAACTGACAAAAAAGTAACGCAGTGCATTACAGTAGGGCAAACGTCTCTCTGGCACACAAGTGGTAACATCGCTAATTTCGACTTTTGATCAAACAATTTATTCCTTAGCGAAAAACTACAGTTTCAATCAGCCAGGTTTGCCCTGATGGATCGCTCCTATTGATAAGACTAGACCTCTCACATGTAATGACGTAGCCAGAAGCTGTGGCGTTACATGCCTTGTAACAGCCCCACACACACATACACACACACCCCTCAACACGTTACCATCATTCATTTACTCCGTGTTCAACATTCATATCAAAGAACGTCATCTGTCCCAGCAATTTGTGAACTGTAAATGTTATTAGCAAGTGAAAGTTTGCTTGCGACTTGTACACCTTAGCCCACAGAGCTTTGCATGTCAAGCAATATAAGTAGAAATACCGTCAACGTATTATCCACAAGCTCAAAATTTTCTTCCCTTCCTACTACCAGAACATGGCCCATGATCGTTTGCTTCTGAGGAGTACGTATAAGAAAGTTTTCCACCATAACCGGGAATAAGAAAATTCATTCGGTCCGAGCAGGCTCACTCTCTGGGGATAGGAATAATTGCATATTACCTGACCAGTACTCTTGTGGATAGTTCTAAGGTGGAATGATTGAGAAAACCACGGCTAGTGTGATGGAAAACCCGTCCTGTGTGAGGGGATTTGAACGTGCGAAATGAACAATAAGTTCATACCGAAAAGTTGGTTTGTGTGGCATAACTAGATGCATGTGCCGCTGGATGACAAGTTATGCTTCAGACGAAAGCGCGGTGGCAAAAGCATACCAAAGAGAACAGACAATAGAAGAATCGAAGTAACTAGTCGACTATAGCTAACAACACATTTTGAACACAGTATTCATTTCTGCCGACATGCATACATACGTGGTGCTAAGAGAGACCGAGGCAATCGCGTATTGAACACTGAACCATGAGTGCAATCATAGTGCGCGTCTTTCTATGTAAAATCGAACAAGTTTTTCAATCATAAATCGATGTGCTGCGTTTTGGTCACTATCGATACATCACGTAGTCCGATAACGAACCGATTCAGGCAAGTGTATTGAAACAGAACCGTTAAGTAATTAAGAGAGGACGCATAAGGTGCGTTCCGGAACAAGAAACACGACTGAGAAAATATACTCCCTATAGTTTTTTTTAAGTTGAAGGGCAACGCTTCGAGTGAGAATTGCTCGAAATTAGCAAGAACTCCAGTGGGGCAGGTGTAAAATCGTGACCCTAACTAGGACGACTGGCCTCCAGATTAGAGTTTACGAGTGTATTTCTCGACACCGATAAACTTTTTATAGCGCTGCTCACATTATTAATCAATTAGAAGGAATGGCTAGTCGATGTACTGTATGCAAAAATCACCTCAGTACAACGAATTGTGAAAATGAGAAACTCTGCTTTAGAACGGAAACAGCACAACATTCTGTCACCCACAGAATCTCGATAAACATTGCCATTATATTACTGGGCACACAGTATCAGTCACGGATATCCCATTAAAAATAATTGTATTTCTAACAAAAAAGATGAGGACTACAGCTATCCCTTCCCATGGAGTCCGTCTCTCTATGGAGCACTCCTTCATAAGGACCCTTTTTTAATTCCCCGATTTTCTGCCATCGGGATAAATTGGGCGTCCTACAAAGAACACCGCAAGATGAGAACCGCTCAACTGTGCACTAACAACTCCACTTATGGTGAAACAGCATGTAACTTGTCGCTAATACACTAATAACCTTGGTTCGACAGTCATTCCACAGGCACTAACGATTGTTTCCATGTTTCCGTAGCTCCAGAAAACCGGTTACGTGTAGTTTGTATATTGATGTACTTTTCGGAGTGAATATTGGGTTAACTTGTCGGCCCTACCCAATCGAGTGTAGATGTCATATTTTAACCAGCTTATCGGTCCGTGTGCATCCGTCGTGCAGCCTCGTAGCACCTTAGACCGGCTTGATTGGCCCATATAGACCTGTGTTCGGATGTTAAGACCACTACTCATGTTGAAGGGGAAGCTCAAACCCGTTCTGAGGTAAAAGCACTCAAATACATAAGTGCAGCATAGCTATCATATATCTTGTTGGAGCTAAGTCACTGTCACCCCAGTATATACAGTTAGAGCCGTTCCGGATTAGGTTAAGTGAGCGTAGAGAGACACAGAGTATGGCAGTGGCAGGTAGTGACGGAATGGGGGAAGTAGGGACATCAAGTGGTCAGGTTTCAAAGGCATCAGCTGTTCATAGACTTCCCACTGAGAAGTTCCAGTGGGGAAGTGGATTTAGTAAAGGAGAACTTCCATACACAGCTGACGCAATTATGATTGAACTACCTACCTACCCATTGTGAGCCCATAAACAATCTATTCGAAAATTACGCCAGGCGTGGTCATCCACGCGCGGATACCAACAGCACGTAAGTTGTCGCCCACCAGCTGATCTACATATAGCATTGTAATAAGACACGATCGCGATGAAGAATTTTTCGGGGAGAACAGGACTTGGAGTACAGATAAAGGAGCTTGAATATGTGACCGTGTAAAGAATGCTGAGGGGCTGGTGCAATAATCAACCATCCAGGCTTAAGCACAACTGATTCGTAATAAATTACATATGTCGCCGATAATCTAGGATTGTGGTCACCTTATATATTTCAATAAAAGCAGATTTATGCATATAAACAAACATGCGCATTAGGATGATGTTAACGGGAGACGTGTTTACATTTCAGCGAAATCCAACTGTCACACAGAATCTGTCTCACGTTTCATTTGGAAGGATATTTGAGATATCAAAGTTATCCCCTTGAAGTGACACTGCTTATAGAATGGACGGAGGCTCCTAGACAGCCCAGCTTCGGGTTTTTCGGGGCCCATCATCATCTGTGAGACGCAGTTTGGGTTTTCTGGTAAAATAAGTTGACTGTGTGTTTATCTGTATGCATGCCCGACACGGTCTTTAAGCAAGCAATAATATTGATGAGATTTCCAGAACTAAGTCCAGTAGTTTTCATCAACTTCATGGGCAAAATGAAGTAAAAAAACTGGTCACTGTTTCACTAGCAAACAAGATGAAGGGATAGAGGTGAATAAGTTTTTGCTATCTCAACACTGCTTGAAAGTAAACAAAACATGAGTCCTAAATACCCCTACAAAGCGTAATCGTGTCAGAGCTTAGCTGAATACTGCATCCATCGTTAGAACGATTACAGTATACAATACATACGTATATATACACCATACTACATATAGAAGGTCTATTTTCACTTTTACGGCTAATCGAGAAATCTAGTCAAGTTGGTGTGGGTCTACTATATCTGTCCCCGTTGATGGATGTAGTGCTCATGAAAATTACATTTGAAAAATTACTGAGTAAGGAGATTACATATACCTACGCGCGTGGTGATTGGATATGAGGACCTTACGTGCTCTACTTCTCAGAAGAATTATAAGAAAAGGTAACAGTTTTAACATGCGTTTGTATAGTTCAGAGGAAATAAGAGGAAACAGTTGGCTCAGTATTTTCTGGAATGAAACTAGTCATTTGGTTGCTGAAAACCTTGACAGTTTTCTTTAACAGTTTTCTTTACCAACAAATTTCTCACGTCCTACTCCTGAATGGTTGCCTACAGACTTACATCTCAAGTTACGGAAGATGCTATCAGAGATACCAATCCCAGCCTTTCGGAGCGGCTGTACCCAGTCGCATTGTCGATTGCAGTTCAACTGTCCAGCCACGCTTTACAGAACACATGAATAATTCATAACGACTGAGTGGGATAGAACAGATTTGGATCCACGATGTGGCAAAAGTCGGCCTCAGTCAGTACATCAAGTGACATGCGCTGGGAGTCACGTGATGATGTGCACACAGGCCTCATCGGATGTTGTAACGCCGGTGCCGTTGTGTGACATTCTAGATGAAATGCGGACTAACCGGTAAGTGGGGTATATGTTGTCTTTCTGTGATCGAACAGTCACGTGAAAAGCTGAACAATACGTATGCCGCACACACACACACATGAACGAACCGCTGTCAACACGGTTTGCAAACCATTCGAATTCGTGAGCGCGGACGCGCTACGGGAATTAGGTAGTTCTGCTAACTGGACTGACGAAGCTTGCTCATGAGTTGACGGTCGATTACGATTGATTTGCACTATTACGAACAGGCCGTATGAAAAAACAAGACTCCCGATCAATTGCTGTACTGAAACATAGCAAGGACGCACTGCTACTTACACCAAGATGGGGAATGTTCCAGAGGAGGACAAGAACAATAACACTGTATGTAGTAAGGCCCGGAGATCCCTCAAAGTGGACGAGTAAGTCACACTCAGTGGAACATGCAAAAAGCCTCGAACATATCCGTATGGTTAGTATGTTCCGTGCGCATTGAATGAAACATTTCGGTACGTACTCCATTTGCAGTTAGGTAACCCTCAGTTCAGTCATTCCAGTTCTGTTGCCGAATTTCACTTTGTTCAATCCACTCCCACAAGACCGATGGCCAAAGTTTCGTTACCGGAGGAGCAGAACCGCAAAGCGATGAGTAGATCCTCTTAGAGTAGTGGACACATGAACGCCAAGACGAGTAAGGCCAAGAGACAATAGCTTGGCTACCGATTTCAGGGAGGTCTGCATTTTCCCTCAAAGGCTTTCATGTTCTAGGTCCATCAGGTAATGCTGCCAGTCAAGGAAAGCTATTACTGAGCAGGGACCCCGTTCGTGTGGTTGGTGTGAGTTAACTGAGTGGGAATAACTCGATCACTAGATCTAACTTGCGATGAACGTAGTTTCACTGCAACTTTCATTAGATTATTGCACTACAATTTAGAAACGCTCCAAACGGTGGGGTCACTGATAGAACCGTTAGTTTGCAGCTTTTTTTGCGAGCCTACAGCTCTCATAGGCTGTCCGGAAGATTTTAGTTGCTTCATCTCACGCACGACTGTCATCCCCAATTAACGGAGACAGATTTACGATCGAACCCATCCAGTGTTGGTGGTGATCTGAACGCCCAGGTGGGTAGACTATGCGCTCCTGAGGCGCAATCGGGTGGTCGTCTTGGTTTGGATACAAGACACAAGGACAACGGAAACTGCCTACTTCGTTTGTGAGTGGAGTTCAGACTGTTCCTTCGTGGTATCAATTACCGGAACACAGGTGCCCACCAACGAACCAGTCCCGAATCTAAATTGGCCACATCGCCGTCAGTTATCGGTGGCGAGGGTCGATCACTGCTTCCCGCTCCTTCTAGAACACCAGCGCGCAGTCCGACTATTCACTTGTACGCTGCTGCTTTTCATTGCGCTTTTCAGGTCTACGCGAAACGCGAGCACCTCGCTTAGCCATTGAGAGGCATGTGCACCCAGAAATCAAACGAAGTTATCAGAACCGCCTCCTCGACGCCTGCTGGATGGTAGAATCAACTCTGACAGAAACTGTAATTAGTATGACTAGAAGAAGTAGTTGACAGGTAAATATTCTTCATGTGAATGCAGGTAAATGGGTTGCAAGTCTACAAGAGTTGTAATACGATGAGTTTTTTATTAGAAATATTGTGTTGCGGAGTCTGCATGTGAGAGCACTTCGATAGTCACTGTTAGGTGAGTTTGATTATATTGTCGAATTAAGGTTGACCAGATTTCGTACATCGAAGTGATAAGTGACGAATTCACATTCCACGTTAATATCTGGTAGTTAGTTATCCATCCATTCATTAGTTTCCGGACGAACTTATCCCAAGGCATTGTCCATATTTAGCAATATTGTGGAATGTAGATAGCTCGGGTGCGCTGCTTGGTTGTTGGTCTGTTCGCCGAGCCTGGCAGTTGGATTGCAAACGTCTCATCACCAATCGAGGTGACATCGTCAGTGCAGCCTGCACTGCACCATTATCCATACTTGCCCATTTCACTCATTCCGCTTTACTGCTCGCTACGAATATAACAATAGTGGCCATATCCAAGTGTTCTGGACATTGACCTGGCAGTGTACCGCAGATGGAATGCATACAAAATCTTTCACATGGCAACAACTTGGTGACTGTCCAGGTACTGTGGGTTTCGTAGTCAATACATGAGGATTGTATCTAAATAAATGACCGGGTTGGCCAGGTCATTGGTACTTTTCTTACTATCATAAAGACATGCGACACAACACAATCGTTAGGAATAGACTAGACCAAGCTTGAAAGGATACGATGAGCAGTTACTCTTAGGATGAATGTAAGCTTGCGGTGTGCAAGTAAAGCTTCTGAGTCGTTCAGGTTTGGCGTTTTTGAGAGAGCCAAATCATTTAGATCGTCCGAAGCGTAACCGAAGAGATGGTACGGGAGTGGGATTATATTCTAAAACCAAAGTCGAGAACTTAGCTGGAAGTCATACCGACTATCGGACACACCACGGGCCATAGGGGTAATAGTATACACTAGACGCTTTCGAGTGCAACCCAGCAAATGACTTTTAGACAATATATGAAGTGAAAGTAAACAGACTCCTTGTGATATGTCGACGCTTTGAGTAGAAAATTATGTCCGCACCGAATCAGCATCTTGTGGGTAGCTGCTTAACTGGCGTTCCAGTGTATTTTAGCACCAAAATTTTCGTTTTATGGGTAGGAACATCTTAGAACATCACGGAGTAGGGAATCCAACAAGTCTATGCGATTCATCTTATTTACCAAGCTTGATATCATGCGCCACTCCAACAACGTGACACAAAAAAGTGTCAGGTGATATAAAAATATTTTGCTAATACAGGGTATGATAGTAATAATCGCTGTGACAAGCCAAGATGAATCAAGATGGAGGTTGTCAGTCTTTTGCTCTGTCGTTCCAACAGACTGGTCTTCAAGTACACAGGGTGTATCGGTGGATAAATCATTCGTGCACACAAAGGAAGCAAAGCCAACACCATGCTCCTATAAAAAATGAATCTATTTCTGAAGGGTGGTAAGAAAAATCTAGAGACAACTAGTCACCACAATGAAGTATATTGCGTTCATGGCACCTGAAGAACTCACCTGGTGCGGTGGTCCTCCGGAATGTGGAGATGTGTGCCGTTGATGAGGTGCTGGCTGCTGCGACTGAGGAGGGAGCTGAGGGGAATACTGTCGTGTGGGGCCACGGGAAGCCGAAGGCGAAGATAAGCCAACCGTGTTGGCATAACTGACTAACTGCCCCACAGGCGAGGCAGCGTTTGACGGGGGCCTGAACGTGCCTTGAACTGATCCTGGTGACTGTGCCATAGCGGTGGACTGTCTAAGGTTTATCTGGGTATTCGACCCTTCTGGTGGGAGTTGCTGGTATGGCTGGTAAGGCACATTAGTCCCAGCGGCCGATTGAGATTGATTCAAATTCGCCAAAGTACTAGAGGCTGGAGAATAGAGTTGGGTTGACATAGCTGCTCCAGAATTATAGCCCTGTTGCGGAGACATAATTCCTGCAGAAAATCCTTGTGGAGTCGCTACGGAGTCCGAACCATAGGCACTCCCAGGACCCAACTGATCGACCGAGTTTGGCCCTGAGTGACCGGCAGACAAAGAACTACAGGAGACAGGTACTTGAGGTGGCTGCAGTGTGATGACAGGTGGAAAACGAAAAGTAAAGACGGTTAAACAGAATGGCAGTTAACGGACAAGAGGTAGATTAAGAGTGATGATTGAAGGTGGAATGGCGGCTTGTTGAAAACCAGTTAACAATCAGTCCGACCATCTACGGGGAAACGTACATCTGGTACAGTAGGTAATTAACGTTTCAAAAGGAGCAGTTTGTACCAAAGAACTTTCCTTCGTCACTGCAATGTCAGGAATATAGGAACGTGTCAGCTACCACGGCGTTCGAAAAAATCTTCATTGGCAGATCTGTGGTACAAGATGACTATACGAAACATTGACCGGACAGTGATTCAATTCAGCCGTTGAGTTTGATGAACAGCTCTCCCGGGTTTACCCGCGTAACAGCGAACAAGAATAGTAAGCGAGCATAGAAAACGAAGCAGCATGGTGCAAGCGCATGGTGGAACCAAGAAGTAAAATGTCTAGTAGCAGCACCATAGTTTGATCGGAGCCCACTCTATCTGGCACTGGTCAGGCAAAACCTTTTCAGTTAAGGTCCACTTGAAAGAAACCATTACAGCCATTATTTACAACATAGGAAAAGCGATGACATAATTAACCAAGCCTACTGCAACAGCCAATGTGTCCATTTTGCTTAATTCGAAAGCTAATCTGGCTCCATCCTAAAGAAGCTATTGTCGATATATCGGTATTACAGCTAGCATGGGATGGTATCGCGATATTACGAGGACAGGAGTTTGATGAGGCAGCAGTTAGCATCATACTCCACAGTGGTTCGGTACATAACCAGTGAGATTCACAATGACAAAAAATTCATGGAAAGTAAAAGTAATAAGGTAATTGGCAGAAAATTTAGCTGTCAGCGCTGCACGTGTTCTAGGATGAGTTAAACACGGGCGGTACAGTGCAGTCGACCAACCGATTTTATTGGCATCTCCGCTGTTAATTTCCGAGCGACTTTAGATGCACAGTTTTGCTACGTAAAGGTAAAGCAACTTACAGAAAAGCCAAGAAACACCGTACGTTAGTTTTAACCTAGTTAGGGACCTGAAGCATTACACATATAACAGGCTTGGAATGGACCACACATCAGCCTCTTGTATTGGAGCTGTGCACTCCTCCATCAAGTGTGGCTAACGGCAAAGAGATATTGGAGTGACTCGACTCGGTGTCTGAAATTGGCTGTATCGCAGTGAAACACCAAAATCAACACTGGTGTTCCGGTGCATGCCATTGAAAACATAAGTATCAACTTCGAGATAATGAGGAACTTGGACAGAGAATGGCAATAGTCTTTATTACTCCTGATAGCTAACTTCGTCTCGATTACTGTTATGCATAATCGTTGGGTTAGTCAAAAGCACGGAAAATTTTATTGGTAATGGAGTGTCTCTCTCTCGCTGTGAAGGAATTATCTATCGGATAAAACATTTTCGATTGGTCTCTTGGAATGCACATTTCTCTCAAGCTAGACTGCATCCGATTCATTTCCTGGAGTGGGACAACCGAATAAGAAAAAATTTCAGCGCAATCTTGCGTCCTCTCCTTCTGGAGCGATATGGGAGCAGATCGCGAACAGAGAGTATCTGAAATATGACTGTGTTCAGCTCTGTTGGTTGTGTAAGCAAAGGCAAGAAAGAATTCATTCGACGATAAGAGGTAATCGCAGGCTTAATGCAGCGTGTCAACCACTGTTAGACATCCGTCTCAAATTTCGAACGGTGGTAAGGCCTAATCGCCAAGGAGTAAACATATATCGGTTCCGTGTTGAGAAACTCTGATAATTTTGGAGTGTACCGACAGCGAAGCATCGGCGTTGGACGATAGACGATGACGATAGACCAGGTCGAAGGAAATTATAAAACGATAAGTGACCAAGCGACTCTGAAAGGCGAACAGACAGAGGGTACTCTCATCACCTACACTGAATACCAGCTAAAAAAAGAAGATACAGCAGCAGCGAGGGATTTCTTTGGCATACAAAAACTAACCTCAGACGGACGAATAACGTCAGCGATTGAGCGTGGAACAGATGCACGCGATGTGGCACCTGGAGGAGTGGAACCATGACTGTGACTAGAAGTTCGTAAACCTCGGTGGCCGTGAGATATCGGGGATTCGTTAGCGGGCCCCTTGGAGAGTAAAAATCGATACCACGTTGGTGAGGATACCAACTAATAGCCAAAGACGTAAATCATTAATGAAATGAAACCACGTTGGCTGCACGTTGCCAACTGTTGTCAAGTCAAGTTAGATATTAGAGAGAAAGTGCCACCAATCGGAATTGATATACATGTACACTATGCCCTTCACACAGCGTCCTACCTAACTTCAACTCTAGGCTCATGTTTAACTGAACACACCTTCAGGATCGATTTTAGCTGCGAAATTACCGAGTGGACTTGTTTATGCGATGACCTGAAGCGGATACAGTTTGATTCCGCTTTGGGGTAATTTTAGGTTGTTACCGGTCAACATACAAGCACAAGGTAACGGTTCTTACTTATGTCCGTGCGACCTCTGCTATTGAAGTCTGCAGCATTCTATCATAATAGAAGTCCCTCTTAGGAGATACTACCCCTCGGAGGTCCGCAACAGTGTTTTTCGTCACTCAATCCAACGGGCAATCTTTCCGAAAGATGCTCAATCCTAAAGTAGATTAGAACTTCTTTTCTCTATGATGGTCACCCTTTGAAGGATATTCTTTGTGACAAAAATACAACAGGGTACAAGTCATTAGAAATGCAAGGCGACTGCATAAACAGTGGAACTTTAGGATTTTTTACTGATTGCAATATACGTGGAATAAGATCTCCTGGGGGCTTTCTCAGAAACGAGGGCTACGCAGTTTCGGGTGCAACTAATCAGATTGCATGCAGTTGTGATAAGAGCTATTCGACAAAACAGGACATAACTTATACCAATGACAAGCGGCTAGACAGCAAACCTAGGGCTGGGCATAACCCCTAGCTTCCTCAATTGTAAGGCAGAAACTGGGGGTCAAAGGCCCACTCGTACTACCAGTACTGTAAGCCAGTACGTGGCAACAGGCCTCCGCGCCATCTTTCTTCGAAAGTAAGCCTCGCATAGGAGCAAAAGTGAGCTGGCTGCCAAAATAACTTATTTTTTAGAGTCAACTATTAGTCGAAAGGTATCGGGGTTCGAAGCATTCTAGTAATTCGTGAGATACGCACTAGTGATGATTCCGAGTAAGGATGAAACAGCTATACAACGCTTCTTGGCTTCTCGAAATAGATTGTCTTCACTCGACTGAAGTTTCCAAACCTCATCATCTTACAAAGCACTAAAGAATTCGGGGACGATATGTTGATTTTGATGGACTTGTACTAGTGGGAACACATTAACGCACCGATGGCTACTAAACTGGTTAACATCACTGAACAACAGCATCAAATTCAGAGCGAGGAAATAGTTGCTAACACTCAACAGGCGTTGAGTTTATGAACCACTTTGCAATGGGTTACATCCGGTCGTAATTCCTCATTCCTAACGCTACTTATCACGCCTATCGATGGTGGTCTTGTTCATTACGTGAGTATATTCATGCGCCACATGCACTTTCAACGGCCGTCAAGTGGAAGTGATGCCCGAACAAACGAAGGCGGTCTTTCCATTCAGTGCGGAATTTCAAGTCTTGTTTGCTCACACACTCCTAAGGATACTTTTGTTGCAAGGCTAATCGGAACTTATGTTGCGAAATGTCGCGCCTGAGATGTAACCACAGCACTACTGAAATGTAAGATAAAAGCTTACGCATGACTAACGACGAGTTCTTGGTGGGATTCGATGGATGATTGCCCAAAATTACGGGTTTCCGTCACCAATCACTATCCAATTTAGACATCGAATTCAATCTTACTAGAGGAACCCGAAGGTTAAAGGAAATTCATGTGAAGCAGCCATGGAAAGGAGCAGGTAAGAAACAGGACAACCAGACACCATTCGGAACGCTGAGTGGCGCATGGTTATACTTAGCGGATAGAGCATGTGAACAGAGACAGAAACTCAAGCCCAGGGAAAAAACAGAAATACAGTACCACCACAATATAGTGCGGACACGTACTGGGTACGGTTGAACCATAGGGGATGACGAGTTGTTCCCGCTAGGAACAGCAGGTCCCAACTTATTCGGGGTTCCACGGTATGCATTGTCTGAAACGCTACAGCCAACAGTCGTTGCTATGCCTGAGTTTATCGTAGCTGTCTGCCCATTCATATATCCCTCCATATAATTCGCCTGGGAGGAATGACGCTGCATTTTCGACACATAACGTGCTGGAGATGATGGAGACGAACCCTGGAGCGGTCCAACGAGGGAGTGGGGATGACCGTTGGTGAGAACCGGATCGATCTGCGGTTGGTCCTGCATTAACTTCTTCTGGTGTCGCTGTTCCGTCAGTAACAGTTCAGCCTCAGCCTGTGCGTGAGCATCAGCAGCCAACGGTCCTATAATTCGCCGCTCCGGAGAGTCGGAATCGATGAGTTTAGCTGTTGGAGCATATATAGAAAAGTAAGCGCTATGGAAGACAATAAGCCTTTGGCCATTACCAAAAACATCGATCAGATTGTGAATAGAGGTTATGTCGAAATTTCCTAACAAAACATCCTAAGTTGAGCAAGCGAACGGTCACTTTCATAGGGATTATAGCAATCGGAAATGATCACATGGTTAGAAATTAATGTGAGAAACTAGTCCTCGGGGAAAGTAGCAACAACAGTGACGAAAGGTGGATTGAAAAATTGGAGCAGACACATCAAAGAAATGAGGTAGAATGTTGGGAAACAGAGATTAAAGGCATTGGGTAGCAGACAACCGGCATCACCAGGAAACGCAACTGGCAGGGAGCAGTAATTCATTCAGTGCATGCGAATTCTACTGACTAAAACCCGATCCCCGGTAGAAGCAGGTGGTTGAGTTTAGCGGTTTAGGAGTGCATGATTGTCAGTGGGAGGTAACGACCGGCATGCAAAGGACTGCGGATAAACAAGCGAACGAACGAAGGAACTAAGAAGTGAACGACAAACGGACGAACGGGATTCAAACGTCAGCAGGAAACGGTTCACGAGAGCTGAACACACACACACACACACACTTTGGACTACCATCTGAGATTGCACGTCGCAGCAGGTGATATCGCTGCACAAGACAAACAGGCCACAAACGGCTGGGCATGCAGTGAATCGTGTGCCATCACTTGACCGTACACACACACACACACACACACACACACACACACGAACCTAGCTATTTCCCATGACTGTCGGAAACAGTAGGCAAGAACGCAAGTCCGATAACAGATTTGCGGATGATCGAGTATTCGAACTACACCTATGAATGAGGACAGAAGCGTCAGCAGCAGCAGCAGTGACGATTCCGCTCCAGCCTAAAATTCCATCGTTCTCCAAATCCGAACTGCCAGTCAATCATGCAAAATGTGAGCCAGGAGCCCAGGCAATAGAGCACTTCGGTTTGAAATACCAAGCTTTGTGGAACCATGCTGCGCTGGAAATGCGGTGTGTACAAGGATGCATTAAAAAGCCCACGAAGATGGTGAAAGACGCACATAGACATAAATTCACTAATCATTCATACGAGTACCCATGTGTGCCCCGCCCTTAGATGATAAGGAGGCTTTCTTGCCTCATTGTCATTCGCCATGGGAAAAATCATGGTAAACAAAAGCTTTGATTCCAAACGATTTCAAACACAGGGGGGACTAGCTAGCCCCGAGATGGAATCAGGAAACAAGGATATGTGGAAAAGCGACTATCCCGTGCGGTAAACATGAAGCTATTCATCCTCTGTAATTCGATTTCGGTTGAAAGTTCAAAAACACTGCATCGGATATTAGTCCCTGAGGGGAAAAATATTAGCAGTGTACATCCAAACATTTCCTAGGGAGGATGAATCATTGAAAAGTGTAGAGGATATGTATGAGTTACGGACGGTACAGTGATCAACAAGAGGTCAACTCGCGTCTCCTAGCTCACGTTAGCTAGGCCTTGTATGGATAAAACTCTGGGAACGAAACTCTGACATTTGATCACCACATAATAAGTTCATCATCGATTAATCAATGGAAGTTGGAAATTGACGTCGTGGAAATTGAAAATGGAAATCACACTTTCTGGATCGAGCGAAAAGAGAACGTGGTTTTTAGCACTAGCAGCGGTGGGAAGCCGACTCTCACTAACGCTAGGAAATCCATATCATTCGTTAGAAATTTTACCCAGGTCATTCGTTCACAAATCGCCTATTTGAGTAATAGGTGTAGCCTGTAGCAGAAACAAATTTATCGGTCAACGACAGTCGGGTCACCTAGAATCTTGTACATATTGGTAAAGCACAATCGGTTTGCAAGCAGTCGAGATGTGGACCTACATTCACGCTCTTGATGGGGATACAGACCCGAGAAAGACAGATAGATGGAAAAGCACGAAGAGACCTGTCAATAGCCGGTCCAAACATGAAGGAAGCAAGGTGAGCGCTGGCAACAAATACTGCGTCCATCTTCCAAGTGTCAGCCATCAGTTTCTTAAGGTTTTAGCGCGGTACCGCAAGTTCCTTCCTTAAAAAACTGTTTCAATGTTCCTAGGGGCAATCAATTCGCATTGCTGCAGGGTGATAGTGGATAAACTTTGGATTTTCCAGTAACAATGTGCTTCTGGATGTTGTTATCCGGAATATCACGTGGCAGGCAGTCGCGATTAGACAACGGAAGGTCACCTTAATTTATTTGTTTACGCATATCAGGTAGACGGCTGTGAGTACGTTGATTACCTCCAAGGCCGACCCCACTTGAGCATGTGAGCCAATATGCTGCGCATCTATACAGCCGTAAGTGCCCTAGAACGTTCGGTCAAGAACGCAGTCATTTGTTCAGTAACCTCCACACTATACGGACAAGTGTGCCAATCATTTAGCTATGGTTTCACCTTCAACTAAGCACTTTCTGGTGTTTAAGTTCTTCGTGGGGCCAGAAATTAACTAGCTCTGATGTATAAGTACGAACTCACTGTTTCTGACAGTATATCGCGACTGAGTTCTACAAACTCCAAAGCTGGTGGCTATGGCACCACCTGTTTGTTCCCCGTAAGCGACTCGGCTAATCCTAGATATTCCATCATGAGAAATTGTTTTTTGGTTTTATCGAAGCACAGTAGTCTCTAATTCGGTGTTAAAAGTAGAAATGAGGTTACACTTGATCATGCTGAGTGAGTTCTTAGGGGAAGTGGGACAACTGTCCAACGAACTCGGTATAAACGGGAAAAATGCACTCACACCGCCCTCGCCAGTTCAAACGTCCTACAACGGCGTTCTCAAGACACCGTATATCAAGAATGCTGGACGGACAGAAACAAACCTGAATGGCGCCGACCAGCGGTCCTCCATGTATGGAGCTGTGTATAAATTCAACGTATATATATATATATATATATATATGTATATATATATATATATGTGCTATATGCCTACCAATACTATACCTACTATACTATACTACTATACCTACCACCTGGACGCCTGCTGTAAGTTTACTACGTATCCAACGATCCTTGAGACGTTCTACTTCATTTTCATTCAGAAATTCCAACCTAGACACTTTCTCGCTGTACCACCTAACGACACATTTCCTCATAAGGTCACACCGTAGCAAAACAACAAACTAATGCTTCGCAAAGCCCACTGTAGTAAACCATGTTGTAAAGTTCAAAATTTTGGTTCCACCATTCTTCGAGGTTCCATACGAATGCGACTAAGAAGGCCGGAAACGAAGACTAGCCCCACCATACTGGGCCGATGGGTGTCGAGTGTTCTAGTGAAATACCGATCGCCTGCGATGCTGCATTTTCTAACTTTTCGGGTCCCGTTAATTCCTAGAACCCGTATACATACGGAAATACCACTAAGCTTGGCATTTTTAAACCCACAGAGACTTCGAGCGTCTGGTCAACGCATACCAATGGTCCGTTAAACCAGGTCTCTTTTATCTTTGTTTCCAACTAGCTATTGGGGACGATTATATCAAATATGCCTGTAAATGAGGTTAGATCCAAAGTGTGATCAAGTTTGGTAGAAGCATGGGACAAACTCATTTTTATGATGATTCGCAGGGTTTTTGATTGGAAAAACGCAATTGATTAAAATGTTCAAGTCTCCCCATACTATCGACAGGCATTCCACGTGTGTAATACAGACTGAAGCACTCAGTGCACTACGAACGGCCGCAATATGACCATTAGTGGGTAAAGACACTAACAGCAGAACTCACGAGATAACGCTACCGTCTGCCAGTGACGATCATAGAAAGGAGATGGAGGTGTTCCGTTAATAATCTCATACAGTTGCAATACACTTGCTGAGGGAACGGGTGCAAATGCACTCAAAGCAACCCCACGACGACGTAGATTAGTGAGAGGCCCAGATTTAGTACAGTCATCCGAAGAAGATACGAGCTCTTTGTGCACTTCATCTAAGTTGATAGGCGACACAGTCAGAAGGATTAAGTGCCGCTGAACCTGTTTACATAATCCACGCCGTGCTCGATCGATTGCATCAAATGCTTCCACTGCAGCCTCCAAAAGATCATGACCAGGTGTCCCAGTAAACATATCTGCATGTTCATTCGTGGCATGCCGCTCTTCGTGTTTCACAGTTGCTATTTGCTTCAGAATCCGGTATATGATGGGGGTATCCGGGACCCAAGTGTTAATCTGCCTGGGTTTGCGCCAGTAGAAGCCGTGAAGGGAATACAATGAAGTATAGGCCTGAGAGAAGAAAAGTTAATAAAGTAAAACTATTAAACGTTCACAAGTGATGTCACTCTATGTGGGTTAATATTCAGTGAAAAGATCGACAATGAGCCACCTGAACGGAAGGATCAACCTTATAGTACGAACAATGGTCACCAGGGTGCTTAGTTTGATGCTTGACTTAGTCCACTCATCAGACAACTTAGCTGCTTGCGAATAGTCAAGGCAACTGTTCGGCAACTTCTACGTGATACTTACTGCTAAGCGAATTGTTGCTTGATTGATCCACTCCTTGAGAGAAAGCTCCAGTCGAAATGAAGGGCGCAGTGGATCAGTCATTCAGTACTGTGCAATAGCCATGTCCAACATAACGTTTGCTAAGTTGGATGCTGATCAAATCTATCGTTCATCGACAGTCGCTATTGGTGCACAGTACCAGCAGATTCGTAGCGCAACATCTATTCAAGTACCGTGTATGCAAATGGCAGCAAGTATGCTAAACCGTCAGGTAGGACAGCTTCATTTATCGCTATAGAGAACCATCCATAAGGAACTATCCAGTTGACGAGTTTAAAGCTGAAGAAGCCGACTGACTAGTTTAGTCCTTCCCTCCGGAAGGACAGTGAAAATTAAAACTGCCACATGACTGATGCTGACTATACTACGGTGTGCGCAGAAGCATTGACAACATACGAATCCGACCAAGCAGTTCCGTCAAATTATCAGGACAGACTCAAAGTAAGTCTGAGTTCCTAAAAACTGTGATTTACTCAACAGTGCTAGACTGTTCCGGTCAAAAAGAGCCATATGCTGGACACTAGAAATGCATAGATCAATTCAACCCCTTGACACACGGCGACAACTACTACCAGACAGTGTGAACAGCAAGACGCACTCGGCCGTAAACCGTAACAGTCTCCGAGCCGATCGAGAATAATATGAACGCACTTCAGAAAAGGAATTTTCCACTGCCGCCTGTGGTGGGTGAAAAGCGAAACCGTGAGTGAGGCAGATGGAATACTGGTACGCGACAGCATCTTTCATAGAGTTCCTATAAGTGTTGTTTCCTGCAGAGTTGACCTTCTTTCTGGTACAGTAATCACGTGTTTCGAGTTCATGGACAATGCTTTTGCGGCCCGACATCATAAACTGAATTTTTATTCTGATTGCACTATTCGGTGTAAATTCCATCACCAAAATTAAAAGCACTTATAAAATTTCCCAACAACTTGGACAATGAACTAGAAGTGATAAATAACCTCGTGTGTATCGGAAGTTGTGATGCTGACAGTGCAGGTGTTGGAGATGAGGTTGAACGGCGTACATCGAAGACAACTTAAGTTAAAGCATCTTCGGCGTCGCCATGATGTGAGACTCATCGGGGTAACATGTGCATCCACGCTAATGCGTTCAATACATAGCTCCCCTCCCGAGTTCCCCAATGAAAAATCCACCAATAACCATGTGATTACATGGCAATTGTATCAGCTCCCGCCTCCAATGCGCAGCTACCTAACTCACCTTCTCAAATCAACTGTGAACGAAACTTTGACAGCCATAACAGTCGTACGACAAGTACGCGATTGTTACAGCTAGTGACGATGATCACGGAGGTGCGCACAACGCAACCACAGGCCCGTGAGACTTAGCAACTTTGATCCAATGACACGTATAAAATACCCGCTCTAGAACATCGATGTTTGTGCGATATTAGCTGTATCTGGTGGGAGGTAACGATGATGTTAACCGAAAAGTCCTAGGTCCAGATGGTCCAACTTAGCGGAACATTATATTGATTCGCCGGTTAAGGTGACTGGGACACGTTCTGCGTACCTCATCAATCACTATTGTACGTTGTTGAGATAAATTGGAGGTAGCGAAACGGGATGAGGAATTTGACTACATGCTTGGTTATGGTGGGTTCATTTCAACTTCTAGATTGGGGACCAACAGACAATAAAAGCCTATGACTGAAAGCGTTACGAAATATGGTTAGATGTGGCGCGTAGTTTCCAGTGTGCTGACCCCAATATGGTTATGGCGCGTAGTTTCCAGTGTGCTGACCCCAACAAAAGAAGAAAAAATTCTGCGTGCAGCAAGAAAGTCTTTCCTCTTTCCTTCCC